CCAAACAGGCGTGATTGGCTGTTCAGCCCTGGCTCCTTTGCTCCTTGGCAACAGTGGCTGAAATGGGATGTCCCGTTGTGTGTTTGCTGTCGCTATTTATTCTCCTGACCCCACCCAATGAGTAAGGCAATCGACTGGAAGTCAGAAGGTCATGGGTTCTAGGCCCAGCTCTGACACCGACCCTGGGCAGAGTACTGCTCCGTATCTGTGTTCTCCCTGCACTAATTATACTGACTCACTTTTGCAGAAAGAAGTATGAAGTTTTACTATTGGAACACGAATCTTCTATGTAGAACTGCTGAGGGTGGATCTTGGGGCGTTGGCTGTGACGTGACATTGGTTGGCCGCCTGTTACAATCTGGCTGTACTTCTGCCCAGCACCAGGGGGCAGTACAAGCTATCCTGTAGTCCTACTGGCAAAAGGGTGTTGGCAAACGGTTAGTTCGGTTAAACCAGATGCTGGTTTAGAAGACAGACTAACTCACTCTTGGTTTTGAACTTTCATAGCGGATGGAACACCTGTGGTCTGGGGCAGAGACCCCTAAATTATGGGAAACTGTTGGGTGGGAGCCTCACTGCTCAGATCCTCTGAGGGCCTGAAGCTGCCTGCGTTCAGTGTTGCAGAGTTCGATGCGTGTGTGGTCTGTGTGGCTGGGGTTTTTCTCAAAACCTGTTTTTTGACCTGGTGGTGAGGAGCTACTGCTGTCACTGCTGCTACAGACCGTCCTTCTCCTTGAGTAGCTGATGCATGCACACAGTGTGCTAGAGAAAGGGTTCGTCCATCTAGCTGACGCTGCAGGTTGCCAGTGCACTATAGAAGCTGCAGCTGTTTTGAAGCCTGAAGGTCAAATTGTTTGCAGCTGGGGCTTCCTTTTTCTAAACCATCTCTGCAGAGGTATTTCCATTCCCAGTAAAAAATATGGGTCTGGGGCTAAGAGGCTCATTGGATTCACCTACGGCTCATGCTCTGCAAACCCCCTCAGCTGATAAATGGAAAAAGTATTCAGTTTTATATCTATAAATTAGTGACTTACGGTGATTTGAACATTTGTTTGTATTTTTAAATGCTCTTAAAAGTAACCTGTCATGACATTCCAGAGTGAATTAAGATCAATTGAATGAAGACCACTTTAATTCTGAATAAGAGCATTCACACAGGGATTTAATGCAGTTTAACTAATTCACTATAAATTCACACCTTTAATTAATTAGGATTAATTTTCCTTAGTTTCCCCTTATACACAAGCCCTTAACGAGCTGTGCCCTGGGATAAAGAGTAATATTGACAGATGTGTCGTGACTATGAGTTTATTCTTCCTAGCTGGTTTACAGCCGAATTAGCATGAGAAAGGTGGGGGCAGTGAAACTGACAAGGAACACAACTGAAACTGACCAGAAACAAAAGTTTCCCTGTCTGAGCTGGGTGCAAAAGGGCAATCTGGCTAGCACCCGCACTCCAAAATAAATCTACTGAAAAGTTGTCAGTTCTAGTAATACACACACGACGATGTGTAAACTTGGCTTCTAACTTGACTGTAGCAAAGAGGCGTGTCGACACCTCATCTGTGCTGGGGAGTGTAGTTAAAACAATACAACCCTCCACTGTAAACATATTTTTCTGGTGCAATTCGGGGCTTCCCCTGCTTTTAAGCTAGGGTAAACCGTGCTCTTGCAAGCCCCTTACTGTCACAGCATGGTGCATTCGCACTGGTGCAGCCATAGTAATGCAGCTACGCCCAGCCCCTCCGTGGCTGAAAAGCAGGTGAGTTGCGGAGTCATGGGCGTCAGGCTGGCTGCTTCTCTGGAGTGGGGTGCAAATGGGCACTTCATCTCCTCGTGCACCCATGTAAAACTCATTTTTCCTGTAGCATCTGTATCCAGTGAGCCCATATCTGGTGGCAGGTTGGGGGTAGGGGGGAAGGAGACTGTGTGAGTGTGTATTTCAGAGATGGGACCCTGCTCTCTAGTGTGCATGCATGACAAGCTCACCAGACTCTGGTCTGATTTGTGTTCAGATGTCTTCTCAGGTGAGGCCCATATCTGGAACGGCCCAGGGAAGAGGTTAGCTGTAGAGCAGTGTTCATGTGCATTATTAGACCTTGATCATGCCATTTCCCAGCTCCAGCCAGGATAATTTCCTCCCCACTTCGTGAGCATTTAAAAATCACCCAGACAGAAAACCACACGCCTGGCTGCAGTGAGGGGTGTTTTCTGGCATGAGCCCCCAAAGGGCAGGGATTGGAAACCATGCCACCAGCTAAGCGTGAGAGAGATTCCACACACACGCACACCCTGGCCTGCCCTTGAGTCAAGGAGTGTGTGAACAAGAAGGGCATGGCTGTCCAGGTGTTCTTCACAAGCAGAATGAACACAGTCGCACTAGCCACACTGTGGCGTGACTGATCCCTGAAGGCAGGCGCGAAGTGGCCCCTGAGTTGTCCCAGAACTACTGTTTTGACAGATGGACCAAGAACTCTCCTGTTAGTGAATCCGAGCTGAGTGATATCTGGAAAGTCCCATGGCTTACTTATTTGTCTCTTTTTTTTTTTTAATTAAATATACTTATTTTGCGATGGGGGTGGGGGGAGCGTGTGTTACTGATGAGATAAATGAGAATCCCTTTTAAACTGTAGTTTTTATAAGATGTTATAAACTTGTATCTTTTTACCATTAGTGTGGTGTCTGTTCCTTTGTGACCTATTTAGAGTATTTAAATAAAAACTTGTTTTTTCTTTTCTAAACTCTACTCTGCTTCTTATCTCGGTTCACTCTAGGGGCTCGGATCCTGGTCTGAGCAGCAGTGAAGCGCCCCCCCAAAAAAGCCCATGTAGCATACAGTCAAGGCTTATGAAAAAGGGAGTAGTGATTTTTTGGGAGCTTAGCTGTGAGGCTCTTTAGAGGGCCCTTGCTTTCACAGAGCAAATACTTAATGTTCTGGACATCAGACCCCATTAAAAGGGTCCAGGGTTGGATGCCTGCAATCACTAGTCACGCTAGAAATTGTTCTAGCCCAATGGGCTCCTAGGTGTTCCCATAAGACAGCTAATAAATAACACAATCTTGGCCTTTAAGTTTCAGTGAACCAAGAACTTCTCCCAAGTAGCTAAAGGGTCAAAAATCTGCTGTCACCATGGTAAGTATGGATTTTAATTAACCCATGGAACTTTCTGCCACAACTTTGCTTTTTCATAGCTCAGGATCAGCTAATGTGGATATTAATATTGGTTACAGGAGCGAGGATGGTGGAAAGTGCGTACCAGCCCTCCTCGTGTGATAGGACATAAGGTGCGTGGCTGGGGATTAGAGGAGCATTTCTGGTTCTTTGGCATCTCGTTGCCTAGTTAGCTATGAGAGGGTCTGGCATGTCCTCCTGGGCCTAATCACGGTCAGTCCGGAGCACTGGGGTAATGCGCTGTCACAATTTCTGTGTTTAATCAGTACCTTGGGTTTGTCAGGCGTGTAACAGGATGTGGCCCTGGGTGGCGTTGCCCCTTGATTCTCTCTGCCTGCCTGCTCTGCAAGGGGGAAGCTTTGCTCCCTGACTTCCAACACTGCAGCCTCTGTCCTGCGGGGCCCTCCCTGCCCCCTCTGCTGAGGGGGCTTCCAAGCTGGGACCTTCGCTCTCCCATGTGCTGTGGAGCAGCAGCCTGCAGCTGGGGCTGGCTCTCCTGATGCTGTGTGGTTCCCCCTCCCCCCGCGTTTGTGGGATTTGACACTTGTTTATGTCAGGAAAGCAGACGCAGTTGCAAGGAGGTTCTGCTTTTGAGCATGGGAAGCTGCCGAAATGAGGAAATATACAGAACCTCCTCCCAGACTCTCTTATCACCAAACCCCACTTGGGCACCTGCCCCTGCCCTCACCCCCACTATGTCCTCTTGGCTTCTCTAGGGCTGGGAACAATCCCACACCTGTTCATTTCAACCCTAGGGCCCCATTAGCTACATATAGATACCAGTTTACCTGGTGCTAACCCAGCAGGGGCCTTTTCTCCCCCTCCTAGCCCAGGGAGAGAGGTTTTTCCACTACTGCCCTTAAGCCAGTGGGCCTGAACGTTTAGCTTCAAGCATAAAGGCTTCTGCTGCTAGAGCAGGGGCAGGCAAACTTTTTGGCCTGAGGGCCACAGCAGGGTTCTGAAACGTATGGAGGGCCAGGTAGGGAAGCCTGCCCCCCTCAGAATCCTGACCCATCCAATCCCCTCTGCTCCTTTGCCCCCTCCTGGGATCCCTGTCCCCTGATGGGCCCCCCAGGACTCCCACGTCTAGCCAACCACCCCCTGGGACCCTCTGCCCCTTATCCAACCCCTCTGCCCCCATAGCGTGCTGCTCAGAGCACCAGGACTGGCAGCTGTGCCACCTGGCCAGAGCCTGGCAGGAGCTCAGCCCCTCCACCCAGAGCACTGGCGGCGTGGTGAGCTGAGGCTGCAGGGGAGGGGGCTGGCCTCCCCAGCCGGGAGCTCAAGGACTGGTCAGGATGGTCCTATGGGCCAGATGTGGGCCACGGGCTGTAATTTGCCCACCTCTGTGCTTGAGTCACCAGGGCTGGGTTCAGTCCCTGCACCTGTGCTTAGGGGAAGGGGTGGTCACTGCAGGCGCAAGAGATGGACAGCCGGTGAGAGCACAGGGCAGGGGCCTGGAGAGAGGCAGGCTGGTTGCCTCGTACACATGGGGTGTAAGAGTGTGAGCGGCTGATTCTCAAGTGTGACCCCCCGCACACACACCTCCTTGCGACCACTGACAAACCGCTACTTAGTGAGAAGGGGAGCGAGTGTTCCTCCTCCCCACACACACACTTCGCCCTGACTGAGTTTTTGTGTGTGAAAACATTGGCTGCAGTTAGTAGTGTAGGGGAGAGAGAGGCTTGACCTGCTCTACACCTGGGCCCAATGCAAATTTCCCCCAGCCTGTCTGTATTTTGCCCCGGTCACTGTATCTTCCCAGCCCCGGTGCCTGCGAGGAAACTCTTTGTCAGTGGCAGCGCACAATAAAACATCACGCAAGAGCTGAGCTGGCTGCTGCCCCAGCCCTTTATTCCTCTCTGTATTCACTCAGCGAAGTGGGGGAGGCAGTTCCTCGTCTGCGGGGGGGATTATTTGAGAGCCCCGAGGGTGCTGGAGGAGATAAAGAGGGAGAGGCTCCCTAGGTTTATTCTGGCTCTCAGTAGTTGTTAAGCACCCGGTTCACAGTGGGGTTTTACTGGCTTGGTGCTCCTGATCCCGGCTGGCAGGAGGGATTACGCCTGCTGCTTTCCTTCTGGTGCTGAAGAGCCCTGCTCCAATTACCCCCCCCCACGGTTGGCCATGAGTTTCCCCTGGCTTGGCTCTGCCCTACAGTGCTCCCCGTTAAATGAGAGAAGCCCCCAAAAGCAGGGCTTTGGCTCTCCGTAGCCCGGCCCTTCCTGCTAGTCACTGACCCCAGAGCTCTTCTGCTGGGCGTGGACAGCAGCTCCTGCTCTCTGGGTGCTGGGGGTCGCTGACGGACGCACTGCAGGGGGCAGAGAAGCAGCAGGCTCGGGGCAGGGGCTTAGCGCTGCAAGGGGAGGGCAGGGTAGGGCTATTAAAGCAGGGAGGCCTCGGGCTGGGACGGGCCCCAGAATGGAGCCAGGGCCGCACCCTGTTCCTCCAGTGACAAGTGGGGGCACCTGGCAGCCTGTTTGGCAGCGGGTAGCCGTGTGAGATTCCACCGAGCAGCAGGCCCTCTGCCTGCACCTTCCCTTCCAGGAGAGGCCCAGTCAAGCTCGGGGTGGCTGCCGTAGCGTGGCATCTGGGGGCCCATGCCATTGGTGGCTGGCCATCCGTGATGCCTCAGTCCTCGTTGTACCTGGGGTTGATGACCGTGGTGGTGGCACTCTGGTACAGCGGGTTGTTGACCTGTGAGGGCAGAGAGGTTGCTGGAATCAAAGGGGAGGCAGGAGTGGGGTGGCCTCAGGGAACCGGGGGTCTGTTCCCGCTGACCTAGGACAAGTAGCTGCCCTGCTTTGCATCTGGGGCTGATGAGCCGGATCCACCTGGGGGCCTGGCCCGGAGAGGAGGAGACTGGGCCAGGTGCTGGAACGTCCTCACCCACCGGGGCACGTGACACAGGGCATACGGGCTGCAGCCCATGGGGAAGGAGGTAGGGAGCCATCGGACCCGGGGAACCCGTCCAGTTCAGCCTGGGGGCTGGGACTGGATGGCCGTGGCGTGAGGGAGCTCGCAGGCTCCCATCTGGTCCCAGGCCTCAGGCCACTTCCTCTGACAGGCCCTGTAACAGTAACTGGCAGTGGCCAAGGGCTGAACGGGCCAGGCAAGGGGGAAGGCCTGAGCTGGGAGGGAAGGGGCCGCCGACAGCAGGGGTGGGGCCCTGACCTCATTCCCCCTGGCCTGCTCCCGCTCCTTCTCGAAGCGCATGTACTCCCGCCGGTCCAGGACCTCCACGGAGATGCGGTAGGCGATGATGATCAGCAGCCCGATGACCACGATGCCCAAGACCAAACCCAGCACGATCATGGCGGTCTGGTCAGCAACAGCTGCAAGGAGGGGAGGAAGAGCACCGGCCTGAGTGAAGCCTGCAGCCGCGCCGCACCCCCGCCACCCCCCCCGGCAGCCCGCACAGCTGCATCCCGCCTCCCTGTTTTCGCTGTCCCCCCACCGACTGCTTGGTCTCCCCCTTTCTGGCCCACACTGGGCCCCCTCTCTCCCTGCTGCTCACCCTTCCTGGGGCATAGTGCCCCAGCCCCTAGCCTGCCCCATGTCACCCCCTCTACCCAAGCCCCCACCCAACCCCAACTGGTGCTCATCGTCCCTGCCTCCCCCTGGCCAAGCACGCACCGTCCTTGGCTTTCACCGTGAGGCGAACTGTGCCCCCGTCCGTGCCCTCGATCAGGAAGAGCAGGATCCGCCCGTCCTCCGTCTTCTCCTTGCACCACTGCTCGCTCACAGCGGGTTCGGGCAGCACCGTGGCCGTGGTGTGGTTGCAGGCGGTGCTGCAGTTCTGGCTCAGCGGGCCCGTCCCGAAGGCCTTGCAGTCGGCGCAGTCCCTGCAGGGCTCCCAGAGAGACAGCTGCAGTCAGCTGGCCCCTCCAGGGTCCCCCCTGCCTGCATTGCCCTGTCCACCATCCCCAGCCGGCCCCTCCCACTGTCCGTCCTGTTCCCCCCCCACACACACAAATACACTGTCCTGAGCCACCCCCCCAGCCCCCTGCCACCACTCGCTGCCCCCGCCCCCGCCAGCCTGACCCACCCCACCCGGCCCTCTCCCCTGGCCTTAGGCTGCCACCCTGGGCACTTGGGGTGGGCGGTGCTGAGTTTCCGTCCTGACCTCGCCCTTTGCCCGCTTCTCACCGGTGCTCCTCGCAGGGCGTCTGGCAGCCCGGGCACCGGCTGCAGAGCCGGCCGAAGTAGCCCGTCTGGCACTCGCACTTGTTGCAGAGGCAGCGTCCGTGCCCGCTGCACTCCACGCCGTCCTGCAGGCACGCGCTGGTGTCCAGGCTGCAGTCGCACGCGCTGCCCGCGTAGCCCTGGTCGCACAGGCAACTCCCACATTGGCACCGACCCCGGCCTGCGGGGAGGGACGGGGGCAGGGTGCCGTCAGCCTGGGCGAGCACCCGCTCCGGTCTGGGAGCCAACCCGGCCCCTCTCTCTATTCCTCCTTCGCCTTGCACAAAGCCCACCAGCCACCCTCCCCCCCTCCATTCTCCCACTGGGCGAGGCAGCAGCTGCCCAGGGCCTGCCCAGCCCATCGGAGCTCTGGCCTCCCCAAGCCCGGCAGCCCCGGCAACCAGGCCCCCCGCCCGGCCCCGCCCGGCCCCGCCACCCTCACCTGCACAGAGCTGCCCGTTGCGCCGCTCGCAGCTGGTGTCGTCGCACTCGCAGTGCTGCCCTCGCACGTTGCTGTTACACTGGCACTGCCCGCACACGCACTGCCCCTTCCCGTCGCACAGGAGGCCCGTGCCGTTCCGGCCCCGGCACCCCTCCTGCAGGTACGCGGCGTCCGCCAGCCTGCACTCACACAGCGGGCCCACGCGGTCAGGGCTGCAGCTGCAAGGCGGTGGGGGAGGCGGGCCAGAGGCGGTCAGGGGAACATGTCGGGGGGGGGCTTCTTACCCCCCCTCCAAGCCACTGGGCCAAGAGGCCTGCAGCCCCACCAACACACACGCACAGCCTAGCTGCCCCCTCCTACCCCCCCCTTCTTACCCCCCTCCAAGCCACTGGGCCAAGAGGCCTGCAGCCCCACCAACACACACGCACAGCCTAGCTGCCCCCTCCTACCCCCCCCCCCCCCCCCCCCCACCTTCCCCCTCCTACCCCCCCCCCCCTCCAAGCCACTGGGCCAAGAGGCCTGCAGCCCCACCAACACACACGCACAGCCTAGCTGCCCCCTCCTACCCCCCCTCTTCTTACCCCCCCTCCAAGCCACTGGGCCAAGAGGCCTGCAGCCCCACCAACACACACGCACAGCCTAGCTGCCCCCTCCTACCCCCCCCCCCCCGTCTTCTGGGCTGCCTCCAGTGCCCCTCCCCGCTCAGCAGGGATGCCCCCCGACTCCCTGCAGCCCAGGCCACGACCAGCCCCACACTAGGCCAGACTCCCAACCCCATCCTGCTGAGCAGTCTGTTCCCCCTGCCCCAATCTGCACCCCCCCACCGTCTGGGCAGGGCTTTACCTGCAGACTCCGCAGGTGAGGGTGCCGTGGCCCCCGCTGCAGTGGGTGGCGTGGGGCTCCGGCTGGCTGCAGGGGCACTCACACAGTGTCTGCAGCTCCACGTGCACCTCCTCGGGGAAGCCCAGCACCCGCAGCGCGAAGGTGTGCGGACCCTCCAGGCAGGTGTCGGCCTGCACCGTCACCGTGAAATTCACCTGGGGGAGACGGGCATGTGGGGGAGGGGTAAACACACACCCCCGGCCACGAGGCCTAGAGTAGATACCCCCCCCCCCATGCCCCACTGAGCTGGCCTGTCCCCGCCCCCAGCCCTCTTCCCCCCACTGAGCCAGCCTGCCGCCCTCTCCCCCGCCCAGCCAGCCTGCCCCTCCCCTCACCGGGCTCCCCTCCCCCCACTGAGCTAGCCTGCCCCCTCCCCTCACCAGGTCCCCAGCTTCCCACCCCAGGAGCGAGCCTGCCCCCTCTCCTCAGCGGGCCCCCAGCTTCCCCCCACCCCCGAGCGAGCCTGCCCCCTCCCCTCACCTGTCTCCCCTAGCCCCCCTCCCCCCACTGAGCTGGCCTGTCCTCTCTCCCCACTGGGACAAGCTACCCAGCCCCCCCTCCCCCTCAGTGGGTCAGGCTGTCCTAACACTGCCCAGGACGACCCCAGCCTCCAAGCCTGGTGGCCCAACTGAGGGCCTGGGCTGGGTTGCCCTCCCCCACCCCAGGGTGTCAGAGACGGGGAGAGGAGCCAGGCCATAGGGGCAGCTCAGCCTGGGGTCCCCAGAGCCCAGCAGGGCTCGGTGTGGGGTGAAGGGGGGGGCTCACCAGCTGGTTGATGCGAACGCCAGAGCAGACCCCACTGTGGCCCCCGAGGGAGCGGGTGGCATCCTCGCAGTGTGACTCGTAGGCCACGCTCACACCGGGCGGGAGCTGGAAGTGCTCCAGGTTCACCGTGGACGACAGGCTCTGGGGGGAGAGGGGCACAGGGAGCCGTCCAGGAGCCGCGGGAGCAGGGGGGTCCTCAGGCTGCAGGGACCCTCCTTGGCTCACCCACCCTGCCTGCCCCACCAGCTTCCAGCCAGCTCCACGCCCACCCCAGCTCCTACCACCCACCCAGCCCCTCCAAGTCCCCAGCCATCTGGCTGGGTAGTCAGCCCCTCCACCCGCCCCCCTGGTTCCCAGGCCCCACTGCTCTGACCACTAGGCAACACCCCCACCCAGCCCCTCCACCTCCCCCACTAGTGCCAAGGAGACCCTGCATGGGGTGCCCAGGCCAGAGGGCGCCCTGCAGGTATATGCTGGGTGCTGGGGCCGGGGGGGGCCTTCAAGGATCCCTCAAAACCCTCAGCCCCACCCCCATTACATGCCATCATCCCCTCCCCCTGAGCTGCCCCTCCCTCTCACATTGTAGGCGTCAGAGATGAGCTGCACCACGTTGCTGGAATCCTCCTTCAGCTCCCCCACCACCGACTTGGGGATCAGCCTGCTCAGCTCCTGGAGCGGGGTAGAGGCCGGGTGAGTGAGTGAGCCCCCCCCTCCGCCTCCCCCAGCTCCGCCCCCGGCCCACCCCCGCCCTCACCTGGTACACGGGCAGCGTGGAGCCAGTGACAGCAAAGATGGGCTGGATGTTAGAGGCTGAGAGCACCTGGGCCAAGTGCCCGACCGAGGGGTAATCCTGCAACGAGAGGCAGCGCCCACCTGTCACCACACAGCACTGCCAGCCCAGGGTGGCATCCAAGCAGGAGTCGAACCCAGGAGTCCGGGCTCTGACCCCTCCCAGCACAGGAACAGAACCCAGGGTCGGCAGGGCCTGAGGAATTAGCTGGCGCACTCAGAACCCATCGCGATTAACTCGGAGAGGTCATGGAGGCCGAGTGAGATACCTGGAGAAGGGCACACATAGCGCTGGGCTTTGAACAGGGCAACAAAGACCCCGGGGAATTCCAGCCCAGCCAGCCTAACTTCAACCCCTGGAAAGCTGCTGGACTCAATTATTAAACAAGCGATCTGTAAGCAGCTAGGGCAGGGGTGGGCAAACTTTTTGGCCCGAGGGCCACATCGACGTTGAGAAACAGTATGGAGGGCTGGGTAGAGAAGACTGTGCCTCCCCAAACAGCCTGGCCCCCGCCCCCAGACTGCCCCCCTCAGAACCCCCCGACCCATCCAACCCCCCCTGCTCCCTGTCCCCTGACTGCCCCAACCCCTATCCATGCCCCCACCCGCTCACAGCCCACCCCCGGGATTCCCACGCCTATCCAATGCGGCCTGTTCCCCATCCCCTGCCTGCCCACTCCAGAACCTCCGCCCCATCCAACCGCCCCCTGCTCCCCGCCCGGGACCCTCTGCCCCTTATCCAACCCCCCCACTCCCTTACCATGCTGCTCAGAGCAGCAGGAGCTCGCAGCCCCACCGCCCAGCCGGAGCCAGCCACACTGCCCGCATTGCCCAGCAGGAGCGGCGGGCCAGAGTGCTGGTGGCATGGCGCGCTAAGGCTGCGGGGAAGGGGGACAGCGAGGGAGGGGCTGGGAGCTAGCCTCCCCAGCCGGGAGCTCAGGGGCCAGGCAGGACGGTCCCGCGGGCCGCAGTTTGCCCACCTCTGACTAGGGGATAAGAAATAGCCAGCACGGGTCTATCAAGAACAAATCCACCTCATTTCCTCCTTTGACAGAGCTGCTGGTCTAGCGGATGGGGGAAGCTGTCAAAGCGCCGTAGCTTGGTTTTCATACGGCTTCTCACACAGTCTCAAATGCAAACTAGGGAGCTGGCGGTCTCCGTGAAATTACAATAAGGTGGGTGCACAAGCGGTTGAAAGCCCGTCCTCAAACAGAAGCTATGGAGGGTTCGCTCTCAAACAGGGAGGGCAGAGCTGGGGGCTGGGCGGGGGCAGTCCTGCAGGGGTAAGTCCTGGGTCCAGTATTACTCAATATTTTCACTAGTGCCTTGGCTAATGGAGTGGAGTAGCGGCATGTAACATTTGCAGATGACACCAAGCTGGGAGGGGTTGCAATAGGATGACCAGGTGTCCCGATTTTATAGGGACAGTCCCGATTTGGGGTTTTTTTTCTTATATAGGCACCTATTGCCCCCCACCCCCGTCCCGATTTCTTACACTTGCTATGTGGTCACCCTAGGTTGCAAGCACTTTGGAGGACAGGATTAGAATTCAAAATGACCCGGACACATGGGAGACCGGGTCTGAAATCAACAAGCTGAAATTTAGTAAAGACAAGTGCAAAGTACTTTGCTTAGGAAGGAAAAATCAAACGCATGACTGCAGCCGGGTTGGGGAGTCAGTGCTGAAAAAGAATGTGGTGGTTAGCAGGGATCACGAACTGAATATGAGTCAGCTGCGAAAAAGGCTAAGGTCATTCCGGGTGTAGTAAGAGGCAGCCTAGATTCCACTGCTGAAACCACAAGACGACACTCCCTTCCCAGACCCAGGCATAGAACCCTGGCATCCGGGCAGCCGTTCCTGGACTCCGGCTGCACCCCTCGCTTTTACAGGGCATGCTCACTGCCCCCGTCCTCGTCCCAGCCTCCCCCAGCTGGGTGCAGGGTGCTGCAGGGACCGGCCCCATTGCCCCCCGAGGGGCACCGAACGGGGTGGGGGGAAACCTACGTAGATGTGGCTCTTGCTGTAGAGTCCGTCAGTGTCGAGGTGGCACTGGTTGTCATTCGGGAGGTAGATGCCACCCAGCTTGCCATCCCCTGCCGTGTGGAAGACGTCATCTGACGTGAAGACCAGCAAGCGCGTCACGTTCCGCCAGCCAATCTGCTTCTGGTGGGGCGGGGGTGGGGGGTGAGCAGGTACAATGGCCTCCCACTGGTGCCTCCAGCCTGCGCACCCCCTACATCGACCCAGACCCGTGGGCACATGCATGCACTTTTGTTCACACGCCTTGCAGCAATGCACACCCTTGTGCCCACACATGGACGGGTGAGCACGTGCCCTCCCACAGCTATGCACACACTCCTACGTGCACAGGTGCCCTTGTGCTCATATAACCCGTGCGTGCACCCCCCCCCACGTGCACAGTCACACCCTTTGAGCACACACAGAGCCAATCACACCCAGCCACGCACACACCAACACTAATACACACCCTGGCATCCATGCACACGTACACACCTGTGTGTGCGCGTGCACACCCAGACACACACACACTCCCTGGCAGCGATGTGCATGTACACACCCATTTGCACACTTGCGCACTCACACAGCCGTGCACATACTGGGAGCCAACGAAAAGGCAGGGAATGCCCAACAGCCGGACTCCCACGCCCCACGCCACCCAGAGCCCGTGGCTACTGCCCCCGGCGGCTCACCTCACACACGGCCACCTGCATGATGGCATCGAAGCCGCCCTCGGGCGAGTCCAGGTTGCCCGAGATGCGCTGCTGGCTCACGCGGCTCTCGAACTCACTGGCGTTGTCGGTGAGCGGCAGCACGTGGCGGAAGCTGACGGGCGAGTCACACTGCTCGTAGCGGTCGGGGCAGGGGTTCTGCAGCTTGGCAGGCACCGTGCTGACGTAGGGCAGGACCGTCTTGTCCACAAAGGAGCCAAAGCCTGGCGGGGCAGAGGCGGTGCCGGGTTCAGATGCTGGCCCCACAGTCGCCACAGGGGGACCCCACCTGTGCCGGATGGACCCCAGTCCTCCTCCTCCCCTCCTAGGGTGAGGTATGGAACCCAGGAGTCCGGGCTCCCAGCCCCTACCTGCTCTAATCACTAGACTCCCCTCTCAGAACCAGGAAGGGTATGTATGTATGTAGGAGTCTGGGTTCCCAGCCCCCTCCGCTCTAACCATTAGACCCACCATCCCCCGCCCTGTACCATCTGCCCTGACTTCTCCCACAGCTGCCCTCCAGCCCCATGGAGCTCTGACTATGGGGCCAGGGAGGGGGCCAGGTTCCCACAGCTCATGGCTCCATCTGTGCATCATGGTGGGGGAGCAAAGCGTGAGGAAGGGGGGGGGCACCACCCCACAGGGGGTGGGGGAGGCAGAGTCTGAGGAGAGCAGGGTGACATCACCCCATGGGGGGAGCAGAGCATGAGGAGAGTGGGGGGGCATCACCCCATGGGGGTGGGGGTGGAGCATGAGCAGAGTGGGCAGTGGGGGCATTGCCCCACAGGGGTTGGGGGCAGAGCATGAGGAGAGTGGGGGGGCATCGCCCTTCGAGGAGTTGGGGGGTGGAGCATGAGGAGAATGGGGGCGCATCACCCCATGGGGGCCTGGGGAGTGGAGCACGAGGAGAACAGGGGGGCATCGCCCCACTGTGGGGTGCTGCCTCATACCAATCTTCACTGACTTGGTGACGTTCCTGAGAGCGGCCAGCAGGTCATTGCCGAGCTTCTTGATGTTCTCCAGGTCGTCCTTCATGGAGTAGGACAGGTCCATGAGGTAGTAGACGTCCACGGGGTAGCCCTCGGCCCGCTTGAACCGCACCGAGAAGCTATGCTGCTCTCCTGGGAAGGGCGGGGGGGGTGGAAGCCAAGGACCCAGCTCAGCAGGGAATCACGCTGCAAGGCCAGGGGCTTGTGGGGAGACCCTTCATCCACCCTCCATCCATCCCCCACTCCTTCATCCCCCCATCCTCCTACCTCCCACCCCCTACCCATCCCCTCACCTATCCATCCCCCACCAGCCATCCACCTACCTACCACCTCCTCCTCATCCATCCACCTACCCATCCACCCCTCCATCCATCCCCCCAACCCCTCCATCCTTCCACCTATCCATCTGCCCCACTCCTCCAACACTCTATCCACCAACCCAATCCTCCACCCATCCAGCCACCCCACACCTCTATCTACCCATAACCCCCTCCATCCATCCATCCCCATACATACCACTCTATCCAGCAATGTATACTCCATTCCCATCCACCAACCCATCTACCCACCCACCTCTCTGGTCACCCACCCAGCCCCCTTCATCCACCTACTCACTCATCCACCCACCCCCATACATACCCCTCTGTCTCCCCACCCAGCTCCATACATACCTGTCCATCCACCCCCGCGATCTATCCATCCATCCCACATCCCTCTGTCTCATCACTATCTCCCCAGTGCTTGTATTTCTAGGCACACACCCCCTGTCTCTCAGAAGCACCTCGTGGCCTGGGTGCACAAACCCCTGGGACCCCAGCAAAGGGCTGATCCATGGTGCTGGCAGAGACACGTGACCGACATGGGCTGGCAAGCCAGGCATCAGCAGCCCCAGGCAGGGGATTTGGGAGGCCAGAGAAGACCCAGCTCCACAGCTGGGCCCCAGCACCGCTCTTCCCCCCAGCCTGGCATGGGGCCCAGTTCTAACCACAAGCCTCCCCCCTCCAGTGGGACCCACCGGGTCGGAGCCACAGGGCGATCTTTTGGGGTGCCAGCTGGGTCACCGTCTCCTGCTCGGCGCTGTCGCTCAGGGGCGCGTCCTCCAGGACTTGGTGCCGGCTCCGGGGCTCGACCACCTCCTTCAGGGCACAGCCGCGGTGGAGCAGCTCCCCCCCGCGTGGCGCAACGCGTGGTGTCCGACTCGCCCGCCTTGGTGAAGTTCTGGAGCGGGGAGGGGGGGTTCAGCCCACAAGCCTGAGCAGCTGGGAGGCACCTCCCCCCAATTCTGTTCCCCCCAACACGCTGCCCCCCCGAGGTCTCTCCCCATTGACCAGCACCACCCAGGGCACCTGCTGGGCAAGCCCAGCTCCCTCGCCCACTCTGAGGCCCACTAGCAGAGCAGCGGGGGCACCCCCCTACCGCTTTGCCCCAGAAGGGGGCACTCCCTGTGGTCCGTTCCAAGCCCCTAGGGATAGGGTGCTATCAGGAGACCCCCCACTGCTGGCTGCCCCCTTCCCCCCCACCCCGGGATGTGCGAGACGTGCTGCTGGTGGCGTTTATCTTATCTGTTTCTCACTGATGGTTTCCTGTTGCTGTAGGTGACAAACCACAGCATTAGCAGTGGGGGATGGGATGTCTGGGGGTTGGGGGGCTTTCACCATCGTGCCCCCCCAAGCCCTTTGCAGACCGCCCCCACTGACACAGCTGGACTGGATGCCCCCATCCTTCCGTTCCCAACGCACATTCCTCGGCCCCGTGAGCTATGGGAGCGCTCCCTCGGCCAGCACTGGTAGTAGGTCTTTTATCCTCTCTGTTGCACTGACCCATCTCTCCAAGCAGTTACACTGGTGCACAGCCCAGCTGCATGGCTGGGAGGCATGGGCGTAGCGGGCAGGGGGGGGTGACTGGGAGCTGTTCCTGCTGCCCCACACCAGGGCGGGACCACTGGGGTTTCACGCTGCCCCCTCTCAAGGCTGGCAAATATGTGCAGCCCCCTGCAAGTGGAGCTGGCAGGCAAGGCGGGGGACATCTGGCACTGCTGGGGCAGTCCCCCATTCCCATCCTCGCCAGCAGCTCCTCCACTCAGCCCAGCCATGCCCGGAGGGGAGGGAAGGGCTTGGTCTGCTTGGCCCAGTGGCTGGTGCCCATGGTTGTCTGTGCCAGAGGCAGAGGGTCCCCCAGGGATCTGTGCTCCACCACCCCCCACCCGCTGGCCAGACCCCATGGCACGAGCTCCCGAGAGGGCAAAGCCGCCGGTTTCTCTGCAGGACAGAGCGGCACCAAACCGAACAACCACAATAGGGCCTTGGGAGGCAGGACTCCTGGGCTCTTTTCCCAGTTCTGCCACCGTCACTGTGTGGGCCTCATCAAGTCATGCCCCCCCCCGTGCCTCAGTTTCCTCCCTCCCCCCACGCACACTCTCCCCCCGGGCCCCTGTCTGTGCTGCACCTTGAGCCCCTCAGCCGGAAGGGGTGAGAGATGGGGACGGTGCTGTTAAGTTACACGACCCCCTCATGCTCGGAGATTCCCCCACCCCACCCCGCCTCCCCAGGCTTCCTGCCGTGCTGGGTGGCAGGATGTGGTGAGCTGCTGTCACACGCCAGCTGGGACCCCCCCCGGCTGGGATAACGCATCAGAGAGGATTTCCGCATGGGGGGGTCCTACCCATCGTGCCTGGGGGGCCGAGGCAGCTGGACACAGACTGCACGGCTCCCCGGCACTCGGGGTAATGCTCTGGCTGCATGGGAGGGGGGCGCCCAGAGAGGGGGATGTTGGGGATCCAGCTCCAGGCCCCCTGTACGAGCCCCAAAGCCCACGGCACTAACAGGTGCCTGCTCCAGATAGGGCCAGGGCCGGGCTAGCAGGGGGCTGCGGGTCGGGATTGAGGGGCACCGGCACAGCTGGGGGTGGGGGAGAGGCGAGTCGGCCTGACTCACTGTGTTATTTTCACAAACACCAAGTTCGTGAGAAGCCAGAGGAAGAACAGGAAAAGGTCGAGGGTGAATCAGAGGCCGCGGCTGGGATGAGAAGTCACTTCTGTCTGACAGCCCGAGCCCAGGGCTGGGACAGCAGGGGGCGGCGGGGGGGAGGGGGATTGAGGGGCGCCGAGGTGTGGGGGGAGCCCAGGGCTGGGACAGCAGGGGGCAGCGGGGGGGGGATTGAGGGGCGCCAGCGTAGCTAGGTGTGGGGCGAGCCCAGGGCTGGGACAGCAGCGGGCGGAGGGCGGGATTGAGGGGCACCAGCATAGCTAGGTGTGGGGGGAGCCCAGGGCGGGGACAGCAGGGGGCGGCGGGGGGAGGGGGTTGAGGGGGGCGGCGTAGCTAGGTGTGGGGGGGCCCAGGGCGGGGACAGCAGAGGGCGGCGGGGGGGATTGAGGGTTGCCAGCGTAGCTAGGTGTGGGGGGAGCCCAGGGCGGGGACAGCAGGGGGCGGGGGGGGGATTGAGGGGCGCCAGCGTAGCTAGGTGTGGGGGGAGCCCAGGGCGGGGACAGCAGAGGGCGGCGGGGGGGGGGGGGATTGAGGGTTGCCAGCGTAGCTAGGTGTGGGGGGAGCCCAGGGCGGGGACAGCAGGGGGCGGGGGGGGGATTGAGGGGCGCCAGCGTAGCTAGGTGTGGGGGGAGCCCAGGGCTGGGACAGCAGGGGGCGGGGGGGGGATTGAGGGGCGCCAGCGTAGCTAGGTGTGGGGGGAGCCCAGGGCTGGGACAGCAGGGGGCGGGGGGGGGATTGAGGGTCACCAGCGTAGCTAGGTGTGGGGCGAGCCCAGAGCTGGGACAGCAGCGGGCGGAGGGCGGGATTGAGGGGCACCGGCGTAGCTAGGTGTGGGGGGAGCCCAGGGCGGGGACAGCAGAGGGCTGTGGGTCAGGGCTGAGGGGCACCAGCGTAGCTAGGTGTGGGGGGAGCCCAGGGCGGGGACAGCAGAGGGCTGTGGGTCAGGGCTGAGGGGCACTGGTGGAGCTGGGGGCTGTTCTCCAGGCTCAGGGGGTCGTGGCGTCCGGCTGCGGCAGACGAGTGGGGCTGGCAGCATCCTGGGGTCCCTGTTCTGGAGTTTCAGAGTAACAGCCGTGTTAGTCTGTATTCGCAAAAAGAAAAGGAGTACTTGTGGCACCTTAGAGACTAACCAATTTATTTGAGCATGAGCTTTCGTGAGCTACAGCTCACTTCATCGGATGCATACTGTGGAAACTGTAGCAGACTTTATATACACACAGAGATCATAGAACAATACCTCCTCCCACCCCACTGTCCTGCTGGTAATAGCTTATCTAAAGTGATCATCAAGTTGAGCCATTTCCAGCACAAATCCAGGTTTTCTCGCCCTCCAACCCCCCCCCCCCCCCCCGACACAAATTCACTCTCCTGCTGGTGATAGCCCATCCAAAGTGACAACTCTCCACACAATGTGCATGATAATCAAGTTGGGCCATTTCCTGCACAAATCCAGGTTCTCTCACCCCCCCACCCCCCTCCCAAAAACCACACACACAAACTCACTATCCCGCTGGCAATAGCTCATCCAAAGTGACCACTCTCCCCACAATGCGCATGATAATCAAGGTGGGCCACCCCCAGCACAAATCCAGGCCTTCTCACCCCCCCCTCACCTCCATACACACACAAACTCACTTTCCTGCTGGCAATAGCTCATCCAAACTGACCACTCTCAAAGTTTAAATCCAAGTTACACCAGAACATCCGGGGGGGGGGGGGGGTTAGGAAAAAACAAGGGGAAATAGGCTACCTTGCATAATGATTTAGCCACTCCCAGTCTCTATTTAAGCCTAAATTAATAGTATTCAATTTGCAAATGAATTCCAATTCAGCAGTTTCTCGCTGGAGTCTGGATTTGAAGTTTTTTTGTTTTAAGATAGCAACCTTCATGTCTGTGATTGCGTGACCAGAGATTGAAGTGTTCTCCGACTGGTTTATGAATGTTATAATTCTTGACATCTGATTTGTGTCCATTTATTCTTTTACGTAGAGACTGTCCAGTTTGACCAATGTAAATGGCAGAGGGGCATACCGAATTTGTGGGGGGGGTTGGAGGGCGAGAAAACCTGGATTTGTGCTGGAAATGGCCCAACTTGATGATCACTTTAGATAAACTATTACCAGCAGGACAGTGGGGTGGGAGGAGGTATTGTTTCATATTCTCTGTGTGTATATAAAGTCTGCTGCAGTTTCCACGGTATGCATCTGATGAAGTGAGCTGTAGCTCACGAAAGCTCATGCTCAAATAAATTGGTTAGTCTCTAAGGTGCCACAAGTCCTCCTTTTCTTTTTGTTCTGGAGTTGGTGGACCTCAGGCCAAGGGGGAGTGGGTCTGGGGCTCAGAGTGGGGTGGATGGGAGGGGAGAGGAGCCCCCCAGAGAGAAGGTACCGTGGGAGGAGAGCAGGAGACCCCGCCAACTGCAGCTCAGAACATCCCAGGGCCCCCAAGGGCAGCAGGATCCTTCCTGCCCTGGCCCAGCCCCTGGCCCCAGCTGGGCTCCCTGGGGGCCGTGGGGCTGCTCAATAAGCCGGCTCTGCTCTCAGCTGGGGGGGATCCCTTCGCGTGTGTTCCCTCCCCCCAGTGCCCATGGGCACTTACCAGCGCTTTGCACCAGGCGCAGCTGGGCTGGGAGCGGATGCAGTCGCGGCAGGAGGCGCGGGGCCAGCAGGAGCCTGCAGGGAACCAGGGATACCGTCCGAGTGACCCCGACCGCAACGTACAGCGCAGCCCGCAGCCCTCCCAACCATACAACCCCCCCACTGGGGATACTCCCTCCCCACCGCACAGCCACCCACGACTGTACAGCCCCCCAACCATACAACCCCCCCCACTGGGGATACTCCCTCCCCACCGCACAGCCCCCCAACCATACAACCCCCCCCACTGGGGAGACCCCACTCCCCACCGCACAGCCACCCACGACTGTACAGCCCCCCAACCATACAACCCTCACCTCCACTGTGTTGACCCTGTCCCCCACCACACAGCCCCCCACTGCGCATCCCCCACTGCTCAGAGCCCGTGACCTACAGCCCCCAGCCCGCCTCCCATCACTCCCATTCCCCAGACATGCATTGCCCAGCAGCCGGGCACTCAGGAGAGCAACCCTGCCATGGCAAAAGCCTTGACTAGGAGTGAGGCCAGGTTGGACTAGTGTCCTGGGCCATGCTGGGGGACGGCTGTGGGGGGCAGAGCTGAGGGGCAGGCTAGGGGGCAGCACAAAGCTGGCGGGGAGGCTTGGAGGACAGGGCTGGGCGGGTGAGCAGGGGACAGGCTGGGATACAAGGCAGGGCTGGGCAAGGATTGGGGGGCTATACTGGGCTACCCCGGGGGGGCGGGGCAGTGGGTGGGTTCCACTCAGCCAGAGGCTTCTCCCTGACCTCACCGATGGGGCCCCAAAATGGACACAGGCCAGGGCTCCCCACACGCTGCCCCTGGATTGAGTGACACCCCCAGTCCCTTCCCCAGCACCCACAGGCGTCTCACCCGCTGCAGGGCCCAGACAAACCAGAGACAAGTCTCCTGCCGTGCCCCCCCCCCGCCATCCCTCTGCCTCCAGCAACATGCTGCCCCATGCCCCCCACCCCGACACCCCCATCTCCTCTCCTTACCTGTTTCCAGCGCCTTCTCTTCCTGCCCCATCGCCAGCACCAGCAGGAGGCCCAGCCCCGCCACCAGCCCGGTGCCCCTCATGGTCTGGCAGAGAGGGGAGATGGTTAGGGGTGGGGGGCAGCTGTCTGCCCGCCCTCCCCGCTGCAGGCAGAGGTGTCTCCTGCCCAGAGCCAGGCCTCCCTGCCATGGGGAAGTGAAAGTGCTGAGCGGGGGGCACGGCCTGGCCCCCCACCCTGGCCTGGGGAGTTTCACTTCTCCCCCCACCACACACACACTGTCTGGATTCCTAGACCACTCCCTGGGGCCAGGCAGCTCCAGGATGGGGCCCAATCCATAGAGGGGCTCAGCTCTGGGCAGCTCCCACAGGGAACAACAGGGAAACCCCCCCCTCCTCACACTGGGAATACTGGAGAACCTCTCCCCCCTGCCCCCTCTTCCCCCCCCCACACCCCAGGAACGATGGAAAATCTCTCTCAACCCTGTATTGATGCAGATGGAGGGAGGGACAGAGGATGCAGTGTGGTAAATGGCCTCCTCCCTACAGCACGCCCAGACACACACACATGTATCCAGGCCCCTCACACACCCGCCCTGCAGACAGCAGGACACATGCACTGCACACACACTATGTGTTCAGCCAGGCGCCTCACACACCCGCCCTGCATACACACACACACACATTACATGTGCACCCAGGCCCCTCACACACCCGCCCTGCAGACACACACACACACATTACATGTGCACCCAGGCCTCTCACACACACACCCTGTACACACCCAGAGACACAAACACACACACACACACACACACAAGCTACACGTGCACCCAGGCCCCCTCACTCACACACCCTTCACACACCAGGACAAAACAAACACTCACTCACACACACCCAGACACACACTCTACACGTGCACCCAGGCCTCTCGCACACACACCCTTCACACACACACTCTGGCGTCCCTGCAGCAGTAGCCGTGGCGTTTGGCCTGGGAGGGAGCCGTCCCAGTGCAGACGGGGCCCAGGGGCTTTCACCTCCAGGGAGCTGCTTGGGGTCACCCTGGGGGGGCTGTGGGGACAGGAGCTGACACACACAAACCCCACCGCTTCTGCTGCAGTGAGGACACTGGCTCAAACCCATGCCCCCGCCTGCCCAGCTACACACCACCCTGGAGATTCCCACACATGCCCTCTCCCCGTGCACTGTGTGACCACATCAGCCCAGGCCTCCCCCCGCGCCCCCGAGTTTTTGATGCTTCCTTTCCACCTAAGGGATATGAGCAGAGGCGGCCCAGAGCCGGGCCGCAGGCACAGCCCTGCCCAGAGTCTCCCCCTGCTCCCCCCACGCCAGGTGCCTGTCAGAGGCAGGAGCTGTGGTTAGCACAGGTTTCGCCCAACTTTCCCTCCACACGCGATCACGGCAGAGCGGAAGCAGGTGGTCAGAGCACATGACTAGACCCAGGACTCCTGGGTTCTGTTCCTAACTCCGCCGCTGACTCACCGGGCGTGGCCCTGCTCTGTGCCTCAGTTTCCCCCTCTAGCCGGTGGGGATTTGGAGCTAGACACGAATGAACCCAGCCTCCCACCCTCTCCTAAGGACGCACAGGCAAGGAACAGGAAGGTGATTGATTTCGCAGATGCAGAATGCGTCCAAGGCCAAGCTGGGAATAGAACCCAGGAGTCCTGACACTCAGCCCTGCCCCCTGCTGCTCTAATCACCGGACACCACTCCCCTTGCAGAGCTGAGACTAGAACCTAGGAGTCCTGACACCCAGCCCCTCCCAGCTAGGAAATTGCATCTTATTGCAACTGCAGCTGCTAGCAACTGGATCTTACAGATTCAGCGATTCCAAGGGCAGACGGGGCTGTTGCGATCCGCTAATCTGAGCGCCCGTAGCCTGGGCCAGAGAACTGCCCCCAGCTCATTTTGAGAGCCGACCTCTTAAACGAACATGCCCCAGCCTGGTTTTAAAAGGCAGCTTCCTTTGGCAGCGAGGTGGAGAGAAGCCTCCAGCCCTCAGCCCTCTCTGCGGTGTGTCAGTTCCAGACACACAGCTCAGCTCCCTCTCAGCCTTCTCTCCCATTCAGCCCCTCATCAAAAGGCTTCTTTGTCAGCCCCTGGATCTGTGTTTTGAACTCGCTACACCCCCGGCAGCGTAGCGCCTGGCATTGGCCTCAGGATTCCAGTACAGCGCCGGGCGCAGAGGTGCGAGCGCGTCCCTACGTTTGCCTACCAGTCCCCTTCAACGCCTAGGGACCGCACTGACCCTTCCGGCCACGGTGTCATGCTGGGAGCTCTCACACTGGGGCGATTATCTACAATGGCCCCTAAATCCTTCTTGGGGGCACAGCATCCCCAGACAGAGCCCATGCCCTGGAGGCAGTCACCTGGGCGTCCACCTTGCCTGGCATTTGCCTGGGTTAAAGGGCATGGGGTTGCACTGTTCGCATTTAACCAGGCCATGACAGCAGCCCGTCGGGCCCAGGATTGACTCCCCCACCAGCCTTTGGTCCCCAGCAAAGCTCTTGCGGCACCATTTAGCTCATTGCTAGTTCCTCGGCTGCAGAGCGGCACTTCCCCTTTACAACCAGCCGGCCCCTGGGGCTGGTTCTGTTCCCATGAGCACCAAACTTCTAGGAGGAGATGGAAGGGGAGTGGGGTCTAGTGGATAGAGCGGGGGTCTGGGAGTCAGGACTTCTGGGTTCCTTTCCCAGCTTGCAGAGGAGAGTGAGGTGTAGGGAGTTAGAGCTGGGAGTCAGGAGCCCTGGGTTCCATCCCTGGCTTTGGGGTGGAGTCCAATCAGTTAGAGCAGGGGGACCTGGGAGTCAGGACTCCTGGGTTCTCTTCTTAGCTCTGGGAGGGAGGTGGGGTCTAGAGAATTAGAGTGGGGCGGGAGCTGGAGAAGTCAGGACTCCCGGGTTCTCTTCCTAGCTCTGGGAGGGGAGTGGGGTGTAGGGAGTTAGCGCTGGGAATCAGGACCCCTGGATTCCATCCCTAGCTCTGGGAGGGGGTGGGGTCCAATCAGTTAGAGCGGGGGAGGGGCGGGAAGCTGGGAGCCAGGGCTCCCGTAAGTCTACAAATCGGAAATAACAAAAACTCAGTGACAAACAACATCCTCGATGCTCCAGCCCACAGCGTGACACAGAGGTCAGCAACGCCCTGGGAAAGGGCCCCTGGCTTTAGGGGAACGAATTTCCAACCCTGCTGAGAGCCCCTGGCCCAACCCACCAGGCACTGAACCGGGGATGACCAGAGCTAAAAGACAAGATGCTCCAGAGGGAGTGAAAGACCCAAAACTCACTGGTTAGAGGCTGCAACAACCCATCTGCGGCTCGGGCATGGGATGGGGGTCAGATATCCCACTCCCCAGTGGGGTACAACACCCAAACCGCACCCTAGGGCACGACACAAAGGTCTGTCGCCTGGCACAGCCCTCTGCCAGACGTCCATAGGAGCGTTCACCAACGTGGGACATTGCCCGAATTTTTCCATGAAAGAATAAAGGTTTGAACTGATTCCCCCTGGGCCTCAGGGCCGATCCACACACAGGCTTGGCAGCAAAAAGGGCAAATCCAAAGCAACTCTGCCATTTCGGGGTGTGAGCACTCCCCTTCGGAATCAGAGCAGCTAAAGCTGGTGGAGTGAAAGGCAGTTTGTTCCTGACCTCAGCTCAGGTCGGTTTGGGTACAAGTGTTCCCACCCAGACTAGCCTGGAAATAATGGAATTGCTTCGAATTTACACCAGACCAGCTTGAAATGAGCATCACAGCTTTCTGCTCCTGGGGCCGGGGGTCTCTGGGGTGTGAATTGGCTAGCCGGGACCTGAAGGCTGAGAAACCTCAAATTTAACAAAGAACGCTTTTCTCCACAGAGTTCATTGGGTGCTGGAGTTTCATAGGGGCGAAAAAACGGCTAAGGGTTTTAAACAAACCGAATACAAATCTCTCCCCCTCTCAGCATCTGCAGTCAGTGTCTGAGCCCATCTGTCCACCAGCTCCCTAGTCTTCCTTAGCGTTTCCCAGGGGAGAAAAAAATTGAACTTTCTAACATACAAACAAACAGCAAGGCCAATTCTGGCTCTCACAGACCCCTCCCCAGACCTTGCACATTCAACATCAAGAAGCTAAAAGCCCGTTGCTGGTCACCTTTTTATGGGCCTCAGAGCATGGCAGTGCCGGGGCAGGGGTGGGATCAAAGCCTTTGGATCACACAGGTTCTATATCCCCATTGCATGGGGATCTGTCTGCCCTGGGACCTCACAGCATCCTGCACCACACCCGGGTAAGACAGGGTTTGGTACAGCTGTGCGAACCCCGACAGTGAATGGACAGAGCATGGAGCTGGCTGGAGGCAGATCGGGCTCCTTGCCCACAGTGGGGAAATATCACTCCACCCCTGGGGCAAAGTGGAGAGGATTTAGCAGGCTCAGACTGAGGGGGAGCTGAGGCTGATTTTGGTCCAACGCTCTACAGCCCTGGCTCTAGCTCAGCCCCCGGGGATCGGGGGGATGCAGGGCTGGCTGGCGTGATGTCCCAGGCCTGTGCTGTGGAGTCAGGCTAGTCTATCTCAGTGGGCCTTGGAATCTACGGCGCAGCCTTCATCCCGTGGGATTCAGCTCCCAGACCCCAGGTGCAGCCACCCCAGCCCAGCTGCAGCCTCGCGACTTTCTGATGCCAGGTGCAACGGCTGACTCCCGTTGCAGAGCACAGAGCTGGGTGGAGACCCCTGCCCCGTGGACAAGTGCTGTGTCTCATAACCCGAGAAGTGGGGGATGGCTCTGGCCTGGCCGGCAGAGACACACCCCTCTCCGGCCTGGGGTAGTGGGGGGCAGCGATCCCAGCTGTGTGTGCAAAGCAGCACAGATGGGGCCCTGGATACTAAGGAGATGAGTACATTACAAAGAAAGAAAGAAAGAAAGAAAGAAAGAAAGAAAGAAAGAAAGAAAGAAAGAAAGAAATGGTGTATATTGGGATGGATTGATAGAGAAAGGAAGGTAGAAACAGATAGAAGATACAAAAAGAGAAAGCTAGATTCGTTCTCGGGAAGAAAGAGGCTGTGGATCGGGTGTTCACCTCTCATGCTCTCACAGTATAAGCGCAAGGGAACATTTAACAAGATGTAAAAGGAAGAATGTTTGCAAAGGGGAGAATTTTATCAGTACGGGGCATATGCACCATGACACTGGGCGGGATGGAAAGTGCCGGGGTTCAGAACCCACCTTGTTCAGGGCAGGAGTAGCCACTACCTGAGGGGTCAGTGAGCAGTCCCGTTGGGAGAGTCTAGCCGCTGTGTCAGTTTCCCTACATTCCCCCTGAGCCAGGCTGTCAGATCTGGGCCACTGGACACAGATCAGTGTCACGCCACCCCCACCCCGCTGCGGCCCCTGACCCGCCCAGCCCCGGACAGCTGTTTGGGTCAACACTCACAGCTCAGACCCCCCAGCACCCAGGCTGTTGGTTCCAGCAGTGGGATAGCAAACAAGGGCACTCACCGGCTTGAATGGAGCCCCCGGGAAAGGGGGATCCCAACGTCTCCTGGGGACCGGCCAGCCGTGGGGCGCTGTGTAGCTGCACTAGCCACAGTCCTTCCTCCTTCAAAGGCAGCTGTGCACTGGCTGCAATTTGCATGAATCTTTTGTGATAGGAAACCAAAGCCGTGCAGTGCAGTGGAAATGGTTTGGGGGGGGAGAGCAAGGGGGAGGGTGCCATGGGGGCTGGGTGGGGAAGCACAGGGGGCTGGGGGAGAGAAGGAAAGAGCCGTGTGAAGATTGAAAGGAGATACAGGGGCGTTCCCAGGGCTGGGCCAGTGGGGGGGGGGCTATCGGGCAGGACTGAGGGGTGTCGGCAGGGCTGGGAGGGAAGCCCAGGGCTGGGCCAGTAGTCAGGACTGAGATGCCCATGGTCAGGCCGTGACACCCCGGGGTCCTGACCTCACAGCCTCTGGGTTCAGAAGCGAAACCTTCTGTGGGGCACCAGTAAGGCAATAGCAGTCCATGAAACTCTTCTGTGGCCCAGCCACTAGAGGGGGACACTGAGCATGGGTCAGACATGTACAAGCGTCTGGGGGAGGGGGGCTGTATGTATGCAGGAGGGGGCAGGCGTGACCGTGTCTGTAGCGGGCTGCACGTATGTGTAAGTGGGGCATGTGCATGGCCGTGGTGGGGGCTGTGAGCAGGACTGGGGGGGCAGGGAGGCTGTGGATGTGGGCAGAGCATGGAGGTGTGGGGCTGGGCAGGTCGCAGCTGCTCAGGCTGAGTGAACCGCCCCCCCCCCCCCATTGTGCTGGTTTCTGGCTCTTAGAAAACTTCCCGCCCCTGTGGCCACAGAGGGTTTTTTCAGCTTTAACTGCCTCCTGCAGCAGCCCCCCCACCCCCAGCCGTGCCTGCATCCCCCCCGCCCCCACCCCCAGCTTGGAGAGATACATGAACCCCCCTCCAGGCTGCAGGAATGGAGCCAGCTGGGAGGGACACGGGAGGCTGCACCCCGCATGGGGGGGGAAGGGGCTCTGCACCCTGCCCCTCCTGCCCCCCCGGACTAAGATCTGTCACCACTCACAGGCCAGGCAGGGTGGGGCCTGGTCAGTACATGGGTGAGAGACGCCCCGGAAATCCCAGGGAGCAGGGGATGGGCTCAGCAGGGTGCGCTGTCTCCTCGCAGTTTGTGCTGGCCCCCAATGCCCCAGCACAGCGCTACGGGGTGCTGGGCTGGGGGGCTCAGTAGGGGATACCATGCTGAGGGGGGGGGGGGAAGGCTCAGTAGGGGGTGCTGGGCTGGGGGGCTCAGTCGGGGGTCCCATGCTACAGGGAGTGGGGGGCTCAGTAGGGGGAGCTGGGCTGGGGGGGCTCAGTAGGGGGTCCCATGCTGCAGGGAACAGGGGGATTCAGTAGGGGGAGCTGGGCTGGGGGGCTCAGTCGGGGGTCCCTGGCTGCAGGGAGCGGGGGGAAAGTTCAGTAGGGGGAGCTGGGTTGGGGGGGCTCAATCGGGGATCCCATGCTGCAGGGAGCGGGGGGTCTCGGTAGGGGGTGCTGTGCTGGGGGGCTCAGTCGGGGGATCCCATGCTGCAGGGAGCGGGGGGTTCAGTAGGAGGAGCTGGGCTGGGGGGGCTCAGTCGGGGATCCCATGCTGCAGGGAGCGGGGGGGGGTTCAGTAGGAGGAGATGGGCTGGGGGGGCTCAGTCGGGGGTCCCATGCTGCAGGGAGCGGGGGGGGGGTTCAGTAGGAGGAGATGGGCTGGGGGGGCTCAGTCGGGGGTCCCATGCTGCAGGGAGTGGTGGGGGGTCTCTGTAGGGGGTGCTGTGCTGGGGGGCTCAGTAGGGGGCGCTGTGCTGCAGGGGGCTGTCTCCACCCCTCCTTTTCTCTGCCCCCTCCATCACTACAGAGGGACGGAGGTTGTCCCCCCCCCCGCTCTCCTCCCCCTTAACCAATAACCCCCAGTGTGAGTGTTTAAAATCTACCTCCATCCCCCCCACCACGCGAAGCTGCCGCCCCTCTGCTGCCCCCTGCTGGCCCAGGCCGGTGGGAGCATGAGGGGAGTGAAGCAAAAAGCAACGGGGCCGCACAAAGCTGGGGAATGGCGACCCCCAGTGGCCGGCAGGGGTCACTGCAAGACCAGGAAAGGCAGCCGCTGAGATCTGACCTGGACCAGGGAGCGATGTCACCGGGGTCTTCCCCCCCGGCTCCAGCCGAGGTCTGGCCTCTGGTGGCTGTGCTGGGTTGGCAGGGGCAGCTGCGTTAGCCCCATGGCGTTTATTAGCTAGGAGACCTGAGGCCTCTAGCATCAGCCAGATCCAGCCCGACCCACTGCCAGCTCGAGATGGCATTGGCCGCTGGGTAGCCCAGGGCTGGGAGAGCAGGCGGGGGGCTGCGGGTCAGGAATGAGGGGCACCAGCAGAGCTGAGAGGAGGGCAGGGCTGGCAGGGGGCTGTGGGTCAGGAATGAGGGGCACCAGCAGAGCTGGGTGGGGGGCAGGGCTGGCAGGGGGCTGTGGGTCAGGAATGAGGGGCACCAGCAGAGCTGGGAGGTGGGCAGGGCTGGCAGGGGGCTGTGGGTCAGGAATGAGGGGCACCAGCAGAGCTGGGAAGGGGGCAGGGCTGGGAGAGCTGGCAGGGGGCTGCGGGTCAGGAGTGAGGGGCACCAGCAGAGTTGGGGGGGGAGGGGGGCACAGCTGTTCTCAGAATTCGGGGGCACTGACAAGTTTTAAAAAAGTGTGTGGGGGGGCTCATCAGCCCCACATCAGTCCTGCCCCCTGCTCCCCACAGCTGCTCCTCTTGCATCTCCAGAGTTCCCGGTTCCGGGGGCTGCAGCAGGGTCCCCCCTTCCCAGGCTGGGTGTTGCATGGCGGGCTGGGCAGAGCTGCTGGGGCTGTTTCCACGGCTGATGCAGCAGCCCCCACCCTCTGGCCCTGCACCCTGGGGCCAAAGCAGGGCTGGGGCTGTTTGCAGAACGTCGTGGTGTGTGGACGGGCCCAGCCCAGGCCAGGAAGCTCTCCAGTGCGGGACGATGCGGCGTGGCTGGGAGAGCCCACAGCGGAGGGGTGGAGCGAGGGCTACTGCCGGGGTGTGTGTGTGGGGGGTCATTACTGCAGAACCATCCGCATTCAGGAAGGCAGGGCACGGCCAGGACACCTGGGTTCTATTCCTGCCTCTGTCACGTCACTCTCCTGCTGTGCCTCGGTTTCCCCTCGCTCCCTTTGTCTAGCTGGATCCTGGGCTCCACCGGGCAGGGAAGTCTCTTGCTCTGGGCAGGCTAATGGCCAGGCTCAGCAAGCTGCAGGCAGCACTAGGACCCAGGAGGGGTGCTCCTTTCTTGTGTCAACATCGAACCCGGGCGGGGCTGGGGGTACCGCCCCCCCCCCCCGGTAGATTAGACCTCCAAATCCAGCCTAGCTGTGTTCCTGGGAGGCCCAGCCATGGAGCCTTCTCCCTGCCTGCAGCGTCCACAGGGGTGTTTTATGAGGCAGGATTTGTGCAGCGTTACTTGTAGGCTGTTAAAGAGCTTCACCCCAGAGACAGCTGCATCTCAGCACCGGGCAAGGGAACCCTGTATAAACAGCCCCCATGCCCCACCCCAGAGACAGCTGCATCTTAGCACCGGGCAAGGGAACCCTGTATAAACAGCCCCCATGCCCCACCCCAGAGGCAGCTGCATCATCTCCACCCAGGAGTCCTTTGGAGCAGAGCCAGCCTGGTGCCTCCTGACGCTAGGCCAGCGCCGCCCATCCCATCAGGCCGCGGCCGGGTGGGTGCTGACGGGCTGGGACGGCCAGGTGGGGGCGCCCCACACACCAAAGCAGGAGCTGGCGGGGCTGAGTTTCCATCACTTTATTTTGCAAAAATAGAAAAGTCCCCTCTGCGAGAGCTGGGCAACAAGGGGGTGGGCAATGGGAAAGGGGCTTTTCTTTTAAAATACCATGTAAAGCTTGGCTGTAAACATGACCGAGGGGAGTGGGGGGGTGCAAAGCCCCCCTCCCAGATCCCCCCTGTAACAGGGTCCTTGGCTTTGGTTTAAGGTCTGGGGTATTTCTTTTTGGCAGCTCAACAGGATCAGGGAGCAGCAGAGATTTGGGGGAGGGGGGATGGGGCTGTGTCTCATGCCAGGGCGGGACCCCTGGGGCTCCCCCTGCCCCACTCTCTGTTGGGGTAGGGGGCAATTGGGTCCATTTCCCAGGATGAAGATAGGCCAATAAATAACACAGGGAAAGTGCTGCCAGGCTGGGAGCTGTAGAGGCTGCAGGGGTGAGGCTGCAGCTCACCCTGCCCCTGCAGGCCCCCCCACCCCCGGCCAGGCTCACAGGCATGGGACACCTGGCAAAGGTGGCAAAGTCTGGGCACCTCCTTTGCCCCCCCCCCCATGCTACGAGGCCAACCCCTCCCCCCACGATGCAGAACCTGCTTGTGAGGGTGACAGTGGCCCCTGCTGCAGGAGTCTGGAACTGCAGCCCCAGGACCAACAGGGGCCTTAGGAGAGGGCGATTCCCCCGCCCCATCTTGTAGTGTAACAGATCAGCGACCCTGCAGGGCTCCTTCCCCTACAGCTGGGGGGTGCTGAGGGGAGGGGGGAGCCTACAGGGGCTGTGTGCATTGGGTGGGGAGGGCGGATTCAACCGCCACCGCTTCCCCCCCCCCCCGCCCCCGCCCAGCTGGGGGACGACTCTGAATGGGTGTGTGTGGGTGACAATATTTTCTCCAGGGCAAGGATTGGAGTGGAGGTTTTGGGGGACAACACTGGCCCTAGGGGGGATTATAGGGCGAGTCAGGGTAGAGGTGCTATCTACTTTGGTCCATAGGGGGTGCTGTAGAGCAGTTGGGGCCCAAAGCGGCTGGGGATGATGTGCAAAGGGCCCCCCCCCAGTGCTGCCCCCTGGGGCCGCGTTCCAGGCTGCTGTGCAAAGGGTTAGGGTGCTCCCCTCACCCCCGGCAGGGAGCAGGGTCCCAGCTGGCAGTGCCCGATGGCACCCATTTCCGAGGGGCATGGGGGGGGGGGATGTTCCCCATGGATACATCATAAAGCAGCCTTGTTGGGGGAGGGGGGGTTGAGTCCCTGGGAAGGTGGCAGCTCCCTGTCCCCATGTGACCCCACCAGCTCCTGCCCTCCAATCCCTGCCCCCATGCCCCCCCCCCATCTTTGGTCTCTAGTGTTGTGTTCCCAAAATCATCAGCACCAAGGGGTGAGGCTGGGGAGGGGGATTGTGGGGGCGGGGTCAGGATTGAAGGGGAAGGTTAGGGGGAAATGGGTTAGTCAGGCTATGGGAAGCCATGTGGGGGGTTATGGGTAGGGAATCAGAAGTGGGGGAATCACAGGGGCAGGGTTGGAACTGGAGGTTATGGGGGGGTGGGGAGTCAAGAGCAAAAGACGCCCCAACTATAGCAAACCTGAACAGCATCAAAAGCAAAACCAGATACAGCCCTACAGCCCCGGCCCCCTGCCTCTGGGGCCCCCCCCCATCCCAGCAGAGCCCCCAGGAGACGGGACAGTGACCCCTCATCCCCCACCGCCAAGGAGTGATCCCAAACCATTAGCACGTTATACAACAAAGACATAAAATAAAATAAACCTCCCAAACTTGGACCTCGCCGCCCCCCTCTGAGATCCGCGTCCCCCGAAACCTGCAGGACACTGGGTGACGGGCAGCATCCATGCTGGGGCAAAGTCCCCCACGCCCCCCCAGCTCAGCCTCCTTTCCCAACACGCCCAGGTGTTCTGGGCTTTCCACGGGCTGGCAGGGGCTGTTCCGACCCCCGCCTGTTCCCCAGCAATCCGCCGCTTCAGAGATCTGCATCAGTTGTCCCGGATGCCTGGGTTCCAGCGGGGAACGTCCGTTTAGGAGGCAGGGTCTTGACTGATCATGAGTCAGGAATCTGGAGGCAGCATCGTTGGGGATGCAGAGTGGGGGGGCGACACCCCGACATCCCAGCCCAGGCTCACTTCCAAGTCTCTCTCTCTGGCTCCAGGGCGCCCCCCGCCGGACGGGCAATTGCAGTGCTGGGACAGAGTGGGGGGCTCTGCTGAACCCCTCTCGGTCCATTTCCAGGGATCTGCCCCCCACCCCAGGCAGGCAGCTCCCTGGCCCGGCCTTGCCCCCACTAGATTTTTGGCTTGGAGTCAGACTTTGGAAAACAAAAAAGCTTGGGGGGGGGGGAAAAGAGAGGCTCCAGACTGCCCCCCCCTCCCGAGAGAAGGTTAAGGCAAGAGCTACACCTCTGAGGCAGCACACAGACAATCTCCATTAGCTGCCCCCCAGCCCATGCCTGCCCCCCCCAGCAATGGAGGGCAGATTGAAGGCAGCTTTGGCTTGTTCGAACCAGCTGGGTGTTGGACAGGGGGTGGGGTGCCTGAGGATGGGGCTTCTCCCAGTCCCCACCCCCCACTCCCCAGGGTGCTAGGGGGTCTCCTCAGGGCTCTTGCTCTCGGCAGGGCTCTCCTCAGAGCTGGGGGGCTCTGCCGATGGGGGCGGCTGCGACGAGTCATCCTCAAACATTTCGGGGTTTTCCAGCATCTCCCGGATGAGGGGGGGCATGGGGCCAGGGATCTCCATCTTCAGGGTGATGGCTCGCTCCGCACCTGCGACGGGGGTGGGGAGAAGAAAGGAGCAGTGAGCCGGCACTGCAGGAGGCTGTGAGCTTCCCCGCAGCAATGCCCTGTCAGTACCAGGTGGGAGACGGGTGCTGGGAGCTTCCCCCCAGCAGTGCCCTGTCAGTACCAGGTGGGAGACGGGTGCTGGGAGCTTCCCCCCAGCAGTGCCCTATCAGTACCCCAAGGACACTGGTGCCATAAGCCTCCACCCCAGCAGCGTCAGGAAGCACCAGCGCTGTGAGCTTCCTCCCCAGCAGTGCCCAGCGGACAGCCCGCACCTTTGGTGCTGATGCCTCGCAGATCGGTGATTTTCATCAGCATGCGGGGGAACATGTATGGCTTGCTGGGTCTGCGACGGCGGGCGTAGATTTTCAACGCTTCCAGCAACGGCTCCTGTAGCTTGTCCACCTTCTCTGGCTCCTCCAGGTCCATCCGATCTGTGGGGCACACACACGTTGGTTGTCACATCCCCATACCCAGCCCCCTCAAACCCCCATGGCCAGCACTCCCACAGCGCCCTCTGCTGGGAGAGGCCTGGCTGATGTAGCCGGGAGCTCCTCCCATGGCCAGTGCTCTTGCCCCACCCCTACAGCGCCCCCTGCTGGAGAGGCCAGGGCTGCAGCAGCTGTGATGGCGTCAGTGTGCCCAGCACCCCTGGTACCTCCGCAGATGAGGCAGATGGCACTGAGCAGCCCCGTCTCGGTGTCATCCATCTCCAGGGGTAGCAGTTGCCCCGCGAAGGCGAACACCAGGTCAGTGAGGGGCCCGAAGCCGGCGTTGTGCATCTGGGTGCGGTTCAGGGTCAGCCCGTCCGAGAAGGTCATGGTGTCCTGCTCTGGTGTGTAGCGCGTACAGATCCGCAGCATCTGCCAGGGATGGGATGTGGGGTGAGCGCCGGGACCCACTGGGCCAGCTCCTCCCCACACAGTGGGCAAAGCCTGTTGAGCCCTGGGCTGGGCAGGGGCCCAGGGTCTCACCAAGCCATGGGCCAAGGAAGAAGAGACTCTAGGCAGCTGAGTCCCCCACTAAACCTCCAGGCTGCTCCTCACCAGGATGTCCAGGCAGGCCGCCTTGAGCAGGGTGATCTGGTCGGCGATGCTGAGGGTGGTGAAACCCGGCAGGCGCTTGGCAAACTCCACGATCTTGATGATGCACTTGGTGGCCAGTTCGCTGAACTTGTCCCATAGCCCCAGGTCCAGCTGAACCCGGTGATCGGCGCTGGAGTTCTGGGGGAGGGAATGGGGGAGAGGGGTTAGTGCTGCACCACAGGGCCTAGGTGGGGATCGTCTCCTACCCTCTGCAACTAAGAGCCAGAGGGTGACCTGCGGCTGCTGGGAGATTACCCAGCCGGGGCCAGGCACGGAACCTGGCACCCCGACTTCCTCTCCCTGCCAGGGCCAGGCCTGGAACTAGGCACCCCGACCCTTTCTCTGCGCTGGGCCAGGTATGGATCCTGGGTGCCCAAACCCACTCTTCCCGTCAGGGCCAGGCACGGAACCAGGCACCCCGACCTCCTCTCCCAGCTGGGGCCAGGCATGGAACCTGGGCACCCCAACCCTCTCTCCTCGCTGGGCCAGGCATGAAACCGGGCGCCCCAACCCCTTCTCCCAGCCAGGTCCAGGCATGGAGGCTGGGCGCCCGGACCCCCTCTCCCAGCTGGGGCCGGGCACGGAACTAGGCACCCTGTCCCCGTTCTCACTGGGCTAGGCACGGAACCGGGCACCCCGACCCCTTCTTCCAGCCGGGGCCGGAACTGGCCACCCTGACCCCTTGTCCTCACTGGGCTGGGCACGGAACCTGGATGCCCCGACCCTCTCTCCTTGCTGGGCCAGGCATGGAACCGGGTGCCCTGACCCCCGCTCCTCACTGGGCTGGGCATGGCATCTGGGTGCCCCACTCCCGTCTCCACGTCAGAGCCAGGCACAGAACCTGGGTCTGTAAGGGGCACCAGTGCCACCTGGTGGCCATTGTGCAGAATCCCGGCTCTGCATTCCCTGGGGATTGCGCACTCAGGGGCGCCGAGCAGCCTGGCTGAGAACAGCTCCCCCTTGTGACAGCAGTGGGCAGCCCGGGGTGGTAAAAGGCGGCTCTGTCATTCCCACAGGCTGAGCCCTGGGGCTCGGGGTGCAGGGACCCGGAGGCACGTTCCAATGACGGAAGCAGGGAAGGCAGAAGGGGGTTCCCAGGTGAGCTAGGGGAGACGGGCAGTGCCATGTGCAGGGGGCTCACCGTGGTGTATTTGCCCAGCTGGCACAGCGAGGGGAAGGTCTCCTGGTGGGCCTTGCTGACTTTCTGGATCAACTCCTCCAGCTCGGGAGTCATTTCGTAGCTGTCCACCACCACCTCCTCCTTCACATCCTTCTTCTTCTTGTTCCTGTCGTTCCGCACGGCTGCCGGAGAGGGGGTGGGGGTGAGGACACGGCCCCGAGCGACCAGCCCTGACCCTGGCTCAGAGTCCGTAGCTGGGAGCGCGTGTGGGAGCCACACGGTCAGGGGGGCATTTGGCCCTGGGGGTCTGACCCAGCCCAAACACCCCCCACAGCTGGGACACTCCTCTTTAAAACAGAGATCACCAAATCAACCCGATGGGCCAGATCCCTGGCCAGTGTAAACTGGCGTGGTACCATTGACTTCGGTGGGGCTAGGCTGATCTGTAGGAGGTGGGGCTCTGGCCTGACCCCGATGGAGATACGCCCACCTACACCATAGGGGGATCTGGCCCCACTGACTCCAACGCAGTGACGCCCATTTACACCCTACAGGGATCTGGCCCCACTGACTCCAACGCAGTGATGCCCATTTACACCATACAGGGATCTGACCCCACTGACTCCAACGCAGTGACGCCCATTTACACCCTACGGGAATCTGGCCCCACTGACTCCAACGCAGTGATGCCCATTTACACCATATGGGGATCTGGCCCCACTGACTCCAACGCAGTGATGCCCATTTACACCATATGGGGATCTGACCCCACTGACTCCAACGCAGTGACGCCCATTTACACCCTACAGGGATCTGGCCCCACTGACTCCAACGCAGTGACGCCCATTTACACCCTACAGGGATCTGGCCCCACTGACTCCAACGCAGTGACGCCCATTTACACCCTACGGGAATCTGGCCCCACTGACTCCAACGCAGTGATGCCCATTTACATCATACAGGGATCTGACCCCACTGACTCCAACGCAGTGACGCCCATTTACATCATACAGGGATCTGACCCCACTGACTCCAACGCAGTGACGCCCATTTACACCCTACAGGGATCTGACCCCACTGACTCCAACCCAGCGACACCCATTTACATCATACGGGGATCTGACCCCACTGACTCCAACGCAGTGATGCCCATTTACATCATACAGGGATCTGACCCCACTGACTCCAACGCAGTGACGCCCATTTACACCCTACAGGGATCTGGCCCCACTGACTCCAACGCAGTGACGCCCATTTACACCCTACAGGGATCTGACCCCACTGACTCCAACCCAGAGACGCCCATTTACATCATACGGGGATCTGACCCCACTGACTCCAACCCAGCGACACCCATTTACACCCTACGGGAATCTGACCCCACTGACTCCAACACAGTGACGCCCATTTACACCCTACAGGGATCTGGCCCCACTGACTCCAACGCAGTGACGCCCATTTACACCATACAGGGATCTGACCCCACTGACTCCAACGCAGTGATGCCCATTTACATCATACAGGGATCTGACCCCACTGACTCCAACCCAGCGACACCCATTTACACCCTACGGGAATCTGACCCCACTGACTCCAACACAGTGACGCCCATTTACACCATACAGGGATCTGGCCCCACTGACTCCAACGCAGTGACGCCCATTTACACCCTACAGGGATCTGGCCCCACTGACTCCAATGCAGTGACGCCCATTTACACCCTACGGGAATCTGGCCCCACTGACTCCAACGCAGTGATGCCCATTTACATCATACAGGGATCTGACCCCACTGACTCCAACGCAGTGATGCCCATTTACATCCTAGGATCTACCCCACTGCCCCCCCCCCTTTTACATATACGGGGATCTGACCCCACTGACTCCAACGCAGTGATGCCCATTTACATCATACAGGGATCTGACCCCACTGACTCCAACCCAGCGACGCCCATTTACACCCTACGGGAATCTGACCCCACTGACTCCAACACAGTGACGCCCATTTACACCATCGGGATCTCCCCACTGCCCACCCCCCGCCCCCCTTTTACACCATACAGGGATCTGGCCCCACTGACTGCAACCCAGCGACACTGATCTACCCTGGCTGGGGCTGGAAGGGCCACATGACTAGGAAGCTGCTATTGATGCCAGTCGGATCACACGCTTTGGGCGTTCCTTCTCAGCCTGGCTGTTCTGAAGCAGTGTGGGCTAGTGGTGGGAGCAGCAGCTGTGCCCGCAGGAGACCTGGGTTCTATTCCCAGCTCTGTTGGTTGACCATGAGCGACTCACTGCTGTCTATATGCCTCAGTTTCCCCAAGTGCTCTATTTAGACAGTGCACCCCGTGAGACGGGGGTATTTTTTGCATTGCCATGGTGAGGGAGCATTTGGTGCATGTCCCAGTTCCTGGGCAGGGGGAAGCGAATCCTGTCTCTGCAGAGGGAAACATTCCCCCTGCCCCGGGGCCAACCTTGGTAACCCAGGTTTATACACTCTGGCGCTCTATCCCCTTTCCCAGCAGTTAATGCGCACGATCGGCATGGGGATGGCCCAGCAAGCATCTGCCCACAGCAACCTGCCAGCCCCCTCCCCTAGCGATGGGTGCCCCTTGAGGCTCATTTTCATACGTGGCCCTGGGGGCAGCCAGCGAGACGATGGGCATGCAGGGGTCGGCAAGGGAAGGGCCAGTAGGAGCTGGTCTGGGTGTCACCTCCTCCGAGCCAGGCTGCAGTGGGCTGGTGTCCCCATGCTCCCACTGCAGCTTCTACACCCCTCGCCCATCCTGACCCACGGAGGCGGTTCGGCCAGTCCAGCTGGCCCCTGCCCACCGCGGTTCCCAGCCACCCTCCCCGCCTTCGCTTGGGAAACACCGAGGCTTGTGCTCAGCCCAAGGAAAACAGGAAGCAGCGGACAGGGAGGCCAGATAAAGCGGGGGGGGGGGGGCGAGGAGAGTGGGGGGTACTCGGATAAATGGGAGTGGGGGATGACATGGCATTGCCCCAGGCTCTCCCCCTTTGCCCACAGCATATGCCCAGGGATCCCATCACGCCAAAGCCTGCTGGCTGCTGGCTCGTGATAGCTGCCCCCCCTTAGGCCTGCCCGGCACCCCAATAGCCCCTGTCTTCACAGTGCCCCAGCTGGCTAGACCCCTGGGGCATGTGTCCTGGGGGGGAGGCTGGAACCTGATTGGCCATCCAGCTTCTAACACTGGCAACTGGCAGCCCAGTCTGATTGGCTACCCGGCTTCTAATGTGGGTTAAGAACCAATGGAAATGGATTCTGGTTGGCTGTCCGGCTTTGACCATGTCAGGGGTTCTCATACTGGGGGTCAGGACCCCGCAAGGGGTCGCGAGGTTATTACACGGGGGGGGGGGGGTGTCATGAGCTGACAGCCTCCACCCCAAACCCCGCTTTGCCTCCAGCATTTATAATGGCGTTAAATACATAACCAAGTGTTTTTAATGTATAAGGGGGGGTCGCACACGCTGCGTGAAAGGGGTCGCCAGTACAAAAGTCTGAGACCACGTGCAGGCGCCCAGCACCAATGGATTCTGACTGGCCACACTGCTTAGCACACGGGGCAGTGCCTGACGTGGCTCACCGGATTGGCTGCCCGGTATCTCCTGTGAAGGATGGGGCTTCCCGGCTCTCCCTCTGCCCCACTCCGGCCGCCCCAGCCCCGCTCCCCGGGGAGCCCTCCTGCTGCACCTGTCCAGGCGGGCCCCTTGCAAAGTACTTTGAGCCCTGACCCGTCCTGGCTTGGCCTCCTGGTGGCAGGGGGACGGTAGGAGATGAACTAGGCTTCAGCCAGAGGGATAGAGACAGCCCCATGCCTGGGGGTTTGGGGGGGGGGGGGGTCAGTTCATCCCTGCCATCCCCAAACCAGGGCACCAGCAGTCCTGGGGCCCAGCGAGCCCAGCAGGGTCCCCCGCCCCCCCAGGTCCCAGCATTCCCGTTGCGTGTACATTCTCCCGGCCCGCCCTGTGGCCGCACATTTCCAGGCTGCACTTCCGGCTCACCCCAGCACGGAGCGCCAGGGGGAATCTGGCAACAGGATACGCGAGCCGGCAGGATATCCACTTATAGCCTCGGCCAGCACAATGCCGGCAGGGAGGGGCTGCCAGCAGAGCTCACCCCCCCCCCCAGACACCCCACTGCCTTGGGGATCCAGCCCCATCCCCCCAGATGCACAACAACCTGGGCTGCCATGGCATGGGGCCGGGGGGGAGCTGCTCAGCCCCCCCACCCTATCTACTGGCACCTTCAGCCCATCGAAAGCCAGGGTGACGCATGGAGGCCGGGTGTGGGGGGGGTTGTTTGAAGAATCAGGTGAGACAGCCGAAGCTTAGCAGGCGTGTGGAGTGGGGGGTAGCAGGGAAGGGCAGTTCAGAGAGGCAGCAGGTCCCCCAGATCCGGGACCTGTGCCAGTCTTCCCATGCAGTGCTGTTCACATGCCCACCAGCTGTCAGGGGGGCAAGGGGGGCAGCCCCTTGATCTCTTTTCGGGGGGGGAGGGGGGGCGTCCTGCAGCCCATTCAGTTCTAGCTGGGCCAGCGCTGGGGGAGTGGGAGGGATGCCAAGGATACCCGCCCCTGCCCAATCCTGGCCCAGTTCCCACAGACCACCCATTTCCGGTCGCCTTCAAGACATCTCGCCCTCACCCGCCCCAAAAAACCCTCTGCCCTTAAAGCGACAGGGGCCTGGAAATCAATGGCCAGGGCTGAGACAGACATTCCTAATTACGGGCTCTTAAAGAGACAGTGATTAATGGGGGCCCCACCCCGGCCGGCTCGTGAGGACATGCCTTAGCAGTCGGGAGTAAAAGCAACAGCCGCCAAGAGGCACTCTGTCTCCAGATGGACCATCCGGCTGACAGCACTCTTAAAGGGGCAGCCGCCCTCTTCCAAGCCTTCCGCCAACTCCCGCGTGACTCAGCAAAGCGGGCGGGGGGAGGGGGTGTGGGTACGAGAGATCACCATCATGGGGGCACGGTTACGGTGGCACCTGTGAACCATGGCTCCAAGTGCTGGGCCTCAAAGCCCACTTTGCCAAGGGGCCAGAACCAAGGATTTGAATCCCGGTGAGATTCGGATCCACTTCTGGCCCGTGTCCTGTTCCCACCTGGTTCTGGCTACCCTGGCCCGGCCAGCCCAAGAACTACCCGTATCGGAAGCATGTCCTAGCGTGGCCTTGCCATGGGTGCCAGACTTCCATGAGACAGGCCTCAAACCAGAGCCTGGATCCAAACTCCCACCCCCCCCGGCCACAGACCTGAACTGGGCCAAACTCGAACCCTGGATCCAAATGATCCGAAGCCAGGCCTGGATGCCATGCCCTAGCCCCGTCACAGTCCGGCCCCATCTGTGCCAGCTGGGCAAAGATCTCGGGCAAAGCTCTCACCAAACACTATGGGGCTCATGGAGGGGCCCCTGCTCTCTCACCTCTAGTGCCAGTGACTTTCCAGTCTTGGGGCACAGCAGTGCCATGGGGCAGGGCCCTGGGCAACACAAGAGCATGCAGGAGTAGAGGGCTCGGGGGGAGGGGAACAGGTGCATGTGGGCCAGTCTCTCTGCATGGGGCCATGCCCCTGTTGGATCCAACCTTCCATCTGATCCCGCTGCAGGTGGATTCCTCCCCCACCTCCCAGCCGCCCATGGCTGTTGCCCCCACCCTCCCGCTGCTCCCTGGCTCCTCACCTTCTTTGGACATGCCGACTTCAAAGCACTTCTGGAGCCGACAGTACTGGCAGCGGTTGCGGGTCACCTTGTTGATCTGACAGTTCTTGTCGCGGTGGCAGGTGTATACCATGTTCTTCTGGATGCTTCGGCGAAAGAATCCCTGAAGGTGGTGGGGGGGAGACAGGGACATGCAGGTCATGGGGAGCGGGGTTCAGAGGTAAGGATGTGGTGGGGGGAGAAGAGGCAGGGAAGGGGTTACCCCATGTGCCCTACAGCTCCAAGCAGGTGCCTTGGCAAAGCTGCACCCCCAAACGCAAACAGAACCCCCCGGACTGGCCTGCTGGAGCACCAGTTGCTGCAGCAGCTAAGAGCAATGGCCCCTCCAGCCCGGTGCTCCGGCTCTGACACTCTCAACCCCCTTCTCACAGGCAATCATGGACTGATCCCTCCTGACCCCTGGCTTTTAGGAGCTGGCTTGTGCTGTCAACAGGAGAATGTGTAGGCCTTCTGGCTGGGATCTGCAAAGGGAGTGGGGTGCCCAAATGCAGTGCGCCCAACCCCCTGGGCCCCTTTGCACATCCTAGCCTTCCATGCAATTCACTATTCATGTAATTGGTTTTTCATAGAACCATAGACTATCAGGGTTGGAAGGGACCGCAGGAGGTCGTCTAGTCCAAACCCCTGTTCAAAGCAGGACCAATCCCCCAAATCCCTAAATGGCCCCCTCAACGACTGAACTCAAGACCCTGGGTTTAGCAGGCCAATGCTCAACCACTGAGCTATCCCTCCCCGCCCTTGCCTTTCTCTAAATCCTATAGAATCGTAGAGATGCAGGGCCAGAAGGGACCTCGAGAGGTCACCCAGTCCCTCTCCCTGCACTGAGGGAGCACATATATCTAGGCCATCCCTGACAGATCCTATTGCAAAGAACATCCAGTGGTGGTGAGTTCCACAGGGTCATCATTTTCAAAATGCTCTTCCCTGGGATCAGTTTTAAATGGGTCAAGTGTCCCCCTCGGCCTTCACGCCCCACAAATTGTCTCTATCCTGGTCATTCTTTTAGGGCTTGTCTACATGGGGAAATGGACTGAAATAATAATGACACCTAGCTTGTTTCATCAGCAAATCTCAAAGCACTTTAAAAAGGGGGTACCTATCACTAGCCCCATTTTACAGGTGTGGAAACTGAGACACAAAGAGAGGCAGTGACTGGTCAGGTCACCCAACAGAGCCAGGCCTAGAATCCAGGGGTCCCAAGCCCTCGCCCAGCGCTCAGGCCCTCAGACTGTGCTGCTATTCCAGAACAGTGACCCACTGGACACTCGATTTTGGACTAAAAGCCACTTTTCCTGCAAAATAATGACTGCACTTCCAAAACTTTGTTCCTCTCTGTTTGCACTGTGAGCCCTTTGGGGCAGGGACTGTCCCTGGCACAATGGAGCCCTGATCTCAGCTGGGTTCTCTGCAGCGCCTGGCACAATGGGCCCTTGATCTCAGCTGGGGTCTGTGCAGCGCCCTGCACAACGGGGCCCCAATCTCAGCTGGGAGGGGTGCCCAACGGAGAGCCAGGCTCCAGAGGGGCAAAGCAAGGAGCTGGCTGAGCCCCAAGCCGTGCGGCGGGCCCCAAGGGGGGGGTCCCCGTTACCTTGCAGCCTTCGCAGGAGCTGACGCCGTAGTGGTAGCCAGAGGACTTATCGTTGCAGACAAAGCAGGGCTTGTAGACGCGGGGGGGGGCGGGGGTGGTGAGGGCGAGCTCGGCACCATCTCCTCCGAACTCGTGCTCTGGGTCTCCACGGCTGATGAGAGAGGGAATGGCAGGGGCATCAGGAGCCAGCGTCCGGGTAAATTCCAAGGGCCGCAAGACCCAGGCGATCAGGGATGGCCCTGACAGCGTGGGGGAGGGGGGGTTGGTAAACCCCCCTCCCCCCCCAACTTCTGACAGGAACCTTCTCTGAGTGCTGGTGCTGGGGGCTTCCCATCATGGGGGTTTCCTGGGGGGTGGGGGGGAGGGTCAGGAGGGGCCCCAAGGAACATGCTTCTGTGGGATCCCTCCAGCCTGGGGCAGCCAAGGCCACTTGCTAGGTATTTGGCACTGGCCAAAATAACCAGAGGGGAACAGGGAAGGGAGGGGGAATCAAATCCCTCCACAACCTGTCCCAATGCCACAGCGAGCCCCCCAATCCTCTGTCCTGCTCCGCGAGGCCAGAGCCAGCCCCCATATCTGCTGCTCTCCCCCCAGGCCAGAGGCATCCTCCCATCCCCCTGCTCTCCCCCTTGCCAGAACCAGCCCCCACAATCTCTCTGCTCCCTGCAGGCCAGAGCGAGGCCCCCATCCCCTTGCCCTCCACCCCAGGCCAGAGCCAGACCCCCATTCCCCTGCCCGCCCCCGCCCCGAGCCAGCCAGGCGCCCCCAGGCCGGGCTGCAAACTGTTTTCAATTCTGTCTTTCAGCGCAGAGCGAATTTCCTGTAGCCGGGCTCTAAATGCCACATTCCAGTCCAAACAGGTTGGAATTGTTACCAGAGCCGTGTAACCTAATCCCCCTTCCCCCAGGCCCACGGCACGAGGAGGGGCGCAGGGGATGGAGGGGGCACACCCATACCCCACGGGGACTGCGGGCTTATCCCTCCACAGAGGGCCGGGCATCGTGTGTCCCGCCTCTTGCCTTTCGGCTGTTTTATCCCCACCCTACCCCTTGGAAGGGCAGCTGAGTCCCAGAAACCCCATCAGCCCAGGTGGAGCGCCGCAATGGAACGGGGAGGGGGGAGCTGGGTGCTGCCTAGGTTTGGACAGTCTCCAAAGCATCAGCTTCCCCTGTTTGCAAAGCCAGGGGGCGGGGGGCCAGCATCCCACATTCATTTTTCTTAAAAAAGGAAAACAATAGCAACCCTACAACATTGGGCCTCTGAGCAGCCCTACAATAACAAACCAGCCAGTGCAGCCCAGAGAGTCTGAGCAACCCTACAATAACAAACCAGCGTGTGGAGTCCTATGCCCCTGAGCAGCTCTAAAATAAATCAGTGTGTACGGACTTGTGCAAAGAAGCAACCCTACAACAACACACTAGTACACCCAGCTCCAGCACTCACAAGAGACCCAACAATAACAAACCAGCATGGCAGAGTTTGCAACTTCCAAGCAATCTTTCTTCTCTCTGGGTTTTGGGGGGTGAGGGGGTTCTATAAAATTTAAGTTTAAGTTGCCAGGCCTTCAAGTTATATCAATAACCTTCCAAACACGACCACAAGCCACTGCCTGAGTCTGCAACCAGCCAGCCAAAAGCAGTAACTCAAACTGCTCCCTTTTGATGTGATGTTAACTCTGGAACTTAATGATGAAACAGACCGAGAAATACCACAGGTGCAAAGTTTCCAGGCAACTACCAGAGTTCAGCAGCATCCCACAGGATACCTGAAAACCAGGAACTTTCTAGGGGAGACATTTTAAACTGGTAGCATATTTCATTCACTGCTTTGCTCCTCTTGTGCAAATTGTGGCCTGAGTGGCCACTAGCCCCTATACAGTATGAGAGAGGAGCAGAGCTGTCCATGTGTGCAATGCTGCCCTCTACTGAACACAATCGGAACTGTCCAGCTGTGTGCCATAGGCCCTGTACTGTTAGCGGCTAAGGGGGGACGCTCCTGTAGCTCAAGCAGTAGAAGCCAGGGTTATACTAGAACAGGATTAGGTTCTTTCCCTGAGGCTGTAGCCTCTCCCTAAGGTCTTTAGTGGTAAATCAGGCTACAAGGTGAGCCCTCTAGAGAGGAAGGTTTTCCACTGGGCACTGTTCAGCCCACCCAGGAAAAGGGTGGGAATCGGGGAAGCAGCCACAAGCAACGGGACTGAGCCCAGAACACCTAGGTCCTGCTGCTGACCTGGTGTCCACACATCTTTCCAGTCTCATCCTGAAACGCTCAGAGATACACACCCCAGACATTTGCTTCTGGCTGAAAGATGGGACCCTCACCCACACCCCCTTCCCCAGGCTCCCTCCTCAGTACCCTGCCCCGTCAATGGGCACTACCCTACTTCCACTCTGCCCCCTCTCCAGCTGCCTTCCTTGGCTACAGCCCCCTGCTCAGATCCTTTCCCCCTCCCTGGATACCAGCTCCCCCTCTACCACCTGCCTAATTCCCCCTGCTCCCAGGATGCTGGCTCTGGCTCTTCCCCAGCTCCCCACCCAACACCCCAGACACGGCCCTTGCCCAGCGCTGGGAGCATACAGCCAGGCTAGAGACGGTGTAGGTGGCACATAGATGCCTGGGATCCTCTCTTCTATCGCCACCACCCACAGCAGGGTGCAGGCTCAAGGGGCACACCCTCGCTTGCCTCACTTCTCCCAGCCCCATTTAGTGCTGGCAGAAAGGCAGCGCTGCCCCCAAGCTGGGCCCTGCTCCGTGCTGGTCCCATGCAGGGCACAGATTGCATGGGCAGGGGGGCAGCATCCTCTGCCCGCCCTTGCTGCCCAACAACCGTTGCAAGCTCAGGCAGAAATCCTCAGCGGCCAGGAATCGGAGATGGCAAAGGGACACTCCAGCACCACCACTGCCACTGGCGACCCTGTGCAGTGCACACAGCACCTTGCACACCAGGGCCCCGATCGCAGCAGGGGCCTCTCGGCATGACTATAGCAGCGGTTATAATACTGGGGTGTGGATCTCAGGGCCTCGCTGATCAGCTTCCCAATGCGAGAGAAAGCAGTAGCACAGAGGACTAGGTAGTTTACTTAGTGCATCTTGCATACGGTCCCTTCGCCAGACCTGGAACAGAGGCGGTCACAAACGGCACACAGGCAGCCCCCTCTGTAATAAATCTGAACCCCAACCCCAAAGCCCAGTTCCCAGGGAGCAAGACTCCCTCAAGAATAATTAACCCTGGTTGGAGAGATTAGGGCAGGGAGCAAACCCGGCCACAGCTAAAGTTTACTAAGGAAGGGGGCCTAGATGGAGGGTTTCTATGGGCTCCTGGATGTCATGGTGGCGACCCCAGCCCCTCTAAATCCCACTTGCTCTCCTGCCCCCCCATGCATGTGCGCAGTTCACAGGGAATGACACATGGAGGCAGAAACATCAGCCCTCCCACATACACACAAACAATATTTCCATTGTGTGGAGCACTAGCCCCCAACACCACCCCAGTGCTGCCGTCCCTGGGCACCGCTGAGCCTGGCATAGCGCAGAGAGCAGACCCAACTGCAGGGTGTGGGGTTCTGCCTCTGCCATCTGTGGCCAGGGGGCAGCCCCCTTGCACCCTGGGTGCAAACTGTCTCTTGCTGCTTGCAACAGCTCTCTGGGAGATGCATGTCCATCCTCCAACAAACTAAACAATAGGGCGTCTCTTCCAAGGCAGAGCACTGCCCGCAGGCTAAGAACTAGCATGACTATGCAACAGCACCACCTGGTGACTTCCACCGTAACATAAATAAGAAACAGGCCTCAGTTTCACAGGCCATCCAAGCTGCCATCACTCGCTTCTCCACCAGGCTTCCTTTCTGCCCCAACTTCTGCCAAACAGAATTAGAGCCTCCAGCCAAAACCTCAGCTCTGAGCCCCCAAAGATCCACGGGGGTTCAGATCTAGGGGCAAAGCTGGCGGCTGGCCCCGCGGACTAGTTACCTGCAAGCACTCGGGGTCCCACACTCCATGCCCCTCTCCCGCACCCCTTGCACCCCAGATCTCACCCGGGGGAGCATCTAGCCTTTTGCTCTGGCTGATGCATGGGGGAGCTCCTGACTCCATGCATCCCTGTCCCTTCCCCCACAAGGGAGACAACCTCATCTCCATGACAGACAGGCCAAGTGGACGATTAGAGGCTCATGAATCTTAACCCTCTGCATTTTTTCCCTTCTTTACAATAAGACAATAGGGGATTTGAGACCTCTCCCTGTGCCTCCCCTCCCGCCTGGGAGATCAGCAGAGAGACAAAGGAGGGGAGGGTAAGGTGATTATATCTCAATTGCAGGCTCTTATTTACCTGAAAGTAACCCATAAACACACAGGGAGGCGCCTTTGAAAGGCACGGGAATGCTGTGTGTATCTCTACATCAGTGGAGTTGATTGTGAGTCTGCAAGAGAGTGTGTCTGTGTGGATTGTGTGGACTGTGTTTGTGTGGGTGCAGAAATGGGAGCGCATGTGTGCGCTTGATTGAGTGTGTATGCTCAGCCCCTGGTGAGTATGTTTGGCTTTAATTCTGGGGGCGCAGTCCCCGGTGAGCTCGTCTTGATTTGATTCTGGGTGTACACGCTCCCGGTGAGTGCTTACATGCATGTATCACCCACTTTATAGGAACATCTCAGGGCTGCTGCAGGACTCCTGCCCCTTGCTCCCTGCCGGGATAGGCTGCTCACCCCCTTTAGAGCTTCCTCTCCCCCACCAGCAGCCCCATCCCCCAGAGATCTGTCTCCATGGGACAGGGAAGGCCCCTCCCTTACCGGCATCTGACCCATGGGAGCCAACTGCCTAGACACCCAACCCGTGCAATATTCCAGAAGCCTCCCGCGGGCCCCTGGGGCAGGGACAGTGCTCAGCTGACCCCAGGAATTAGAGTGCTGGAGAGCAGATGCCTTGGGGTCCGGGTAGGGTTAGACAGCAGTCCCCAAGCTACATGGGGGGCAAAGGGAGTGGGGAAATCCGATGTGGACTGGATCTTGCCCCAGGGACCAATCCCACCCCATCACACTCAGCCCGAGGCCCATGCAGGACTGGGTGAGGCCCCCCCTTCCCCGCCCCTTCCCCTGGTCTTGCTATGGAGCCTGGGGTCTGAGAGCTGGGACTGCACTGGCCATGTGGCCCAGTGG